TTGGGAGAGAGGAGTGTTGTTGTTTTGTTATTTTTATTGCGTAAAGGTGTTTTAATTAAAGGTTTGGGTGAATATTTGTTGTTCTTTTGTCCATTCGGATTTTTCGTTGTACATGAAACCTCTTTTTAAACGGATGCTCTTTATCTATTTCTTATTGCACTCTGTACTCTGCATTAAATAATAAAATTAAATTAAAATCAAGTTTTATAAATAAAAATTCTCTAAGCCCGGTATTCTGAAGCTTTGACTGCGACAACTTTTTTATATGAATGACGTCATTTGTTAATGTCATTTTGGAGACGCAGGTGTAAGCAGCTTGAGTGTAATTATCACGAGCAATAAATGTCTTCTTGCAAGAAATTTTCGGAATAAAATTCGCTCAAATTTATTCTTATACATCAGTTCAAATTATAAAGACGTGACTTTTACAAAGTAAGGATTTGATGTTTTCACAAGACAAACATGTTTTTCATACATTTTCTCTCTATATAGGCCGTGCATGAAAACTAAGTTTAAGATAAACTTGAATTCCGTTTAGTCCTTGAAAATATTTCTGAGGTCACCTTTTGAACCGTCTGGAACAGTTTTATAATCAACCAAATATAGATTTAGTCATGTAGGAAGAATCTTACAAGTATGTGTCAGCGAATTTGGGGTAAATAAACTAAACTTTTAACACCGGTATTCTTTCAGTATCAGGTGTAACCAACTCAAATCAATGCACAACCTGAACGAACCACATTTATAGGTTGAATCAATCATCTGAAAATATTTCAAGAAATATCAATTGACAAAGTAATGTCAGATATTTCACCAACACAAATGAATTTAGCACAGGAAGTCTACATTTAAATTATAACTCTTTATTCTGGAAGCCATAATAGACTTTCTCGTGTTACATCTGCGGTTGTCACAGCCTCTCGATTAATGAATATTTTTTTTGTTCCCAGTGATCAAAGGAATTACTCAGCGTAAATAACAGAAATAACTATCAAAATACATTAATGATTAACAGATGGAATATTAACTGATGAAACATCTTTTAGTAATCTCAGTAGTTTTCAGTTCATCTACTAAAAAGATAAACTTAATTGTTCTACAGAGAGGAAAATCCTACAAAATTAGAAATCAAACGCTGCTTCACTCCACAAAAGACAAATAAGTTTTGAAATGTGACTGATTGAATTACCCGTACTGAAATAATTATGTGCTTTTAGCATATGAATTCGCTGGCAACTTTAACATAATAAAACTATTAACAAATTTATCTTACGGAACGATCTTATAGAAGATATTAAAATATTACCGGTAACATATGGCTGCGAGCTCATTGTAAATATAAAATTATATACTGATTGAGATTAAATCTTTTCATTTTCTAAAATCATTATGCCACTTCAATATTTTCATACAGGTGTAAGCATAGATGATGGAGCATAACTAAAACTTGTTTAAACAGCATGACTTAAAATGCATGATAATTTTCATCAAAATATTGAAATGTGTTTAAAAGTTTAATATAGTGAAGTAAACAAAATAAGTACATTTGTATTTTACACATTGCAAACGGCACTTACAACCCATGTAATCAAAATATGCAAAAAATAACTTACTGCATAAATATTACCATAGAAATATGGCGATAAATACTGAAAAATCGGTTATTAATCGCACATAACATGTAAATTATTGCTTGAATCTTGAACCCTTTTACTTGCTTAAAATCTGATTAATTTTTTTTCAAATTTGATTTTCTTGAAATATTTGGCTAATCTGAAGGCATGCAGCTGTATGAAATAAGTATAAGTCAATTTACCAGTCTTTTGTTCAGTAAAGATGATTATTTACAATCGTTATATCCGAAGTGGGATAAGTACATTACTTGCAAAATACAGCTTTTGTTTGACAATGTTTGGATTTCTTTCTTACAAAACATACATTTTTATCAATGACCGCATGAATATTATCTAATTTGGCTGACTTTTGGCTGACAAAATACGAAGAAATCTCTTCAAAAAGTAATTATATTTTGACTCTCAACTCAAAGGGTTTGTTTTTATTTACGAAACTCGCCGCTCCTAGAAATCCTGAAATTACACGCTAAATAAACAACAGTATCCCGTGTTTTACAGTTACATTAAGATTATTTATTCCTTATAATTAAGTCAATTCTGCCCTTTCATTTTCTCATGCTTCTTTCTAATCACGTTCTCTATACAGCAGGATTGTCGGGAAAGTAGCTTCATAATTAATCATTATAGAAGAATAAAATTAGTAGTCATTCAATAAACCTCTCCTAGATACGCAGTTTCCTGGTCAAAACAAATACATGTATAAGTACGAGAAGAATATTGGTGTACACTATGATATTTTCGTAGATACTTTTTTGGTGGGGTTTACGTTCTGAAAAGATCATTTGACGAGCTCCAGCTCAATTGGTAGGGGAAGACCCAAAATGCATCTTCGCACATTATTTCAGGCGAGGATGGTCTCTACAGTAGCTAATTAGACAGCTTCCTCGCATTAAAAAATCCATAGTCCCTCGCATGAACCCATAGCGGAAAGGGGCAGATGGTTTGAAGTCAATGGCCACGAAGTTTGTTCGTAAAGACAAAAACAAGAGCGATCAGTGATCACATGTGTCGCCTCATGATGGCCAATTTCATGTTGGGACAAGTTTTGTGACAGACGGACAGACAGACGGACAGTGCACAACTAGGCTTGGTACTGATCATTCCTGTAAAGTTTGGATAAAATTGCACCAGTAGTTTATGAGGAGTAGTCCGGACAAGCTTTTGTGTATCTGGCAACACACAGAAAAAACACGTTTTATTAAAGGGCCATAACTCGGCAAAACATCATTCAACCGGAAAACCCGTGCAATATGCGCAAGGACTTGAGCTACAGATCAATCTTGTAAAGTTCCATTGAAATTGAATTAGTGGTATAAGAGAAGTAGTCCGGACAAACTTTAAAAATAAAAATTATTAAAGGGTCATAACTCTGACAAAAATCATTGACCCGGAAAATGCTGATAATATGCACAACTAGAATTGGTACTGATCATTTCTGTAAAGTCTAGATGAAAAGGCACCATTAGTTTTTGAGGAGTAGTCCGGACAAGCTTTGTGACGGACGGACAGACAGACAGATGACGGAGAAGTGATCCCTATATGTCGCCACTACTCCGTAGAGGCGACACAAAAATGTACCATTTGCATGATTGCGATGTATTCATGACATTATTTTTTGCACATTTTACGTTATAAGGAAAGCATTTTTAGATACAAAAATTGCCAAAAAACGATCATATATGGCTCACCTGACAAACACTGGCGGTACAAGACATTTAATTCTCAGGTGAGCTAAAAGAATCTCACTAGGTAAAAAGTAAGTCAACTTATATCAAAGTTGTAAAGTTCAAATCTTTACAATGTGTATAGTCAAAGTTACATCGCGTAAGGTCTTATTACAAATATGTGGGTCACTGGGTAACAATCTAGGTCAATTATTGTCAAAGTTCCAATTTGCATCTGAAACTGTGGTTGTAATTTCAATGCTACAAAAAAGTATGTCACTTGATCAAAATACAGGTCAAAGATCAATTCTGCGACTGAAACTGTGAATAAATGTATAGTCCAAATCTGATAGCTGCAACTCTAATTACCAAAACAGGTTACTGGGTCAACATCTTTGTCAACCAAAGCCATTAAAGTTTATTTCTACATCGCAAACTGCGAATACAGTCAAAATTTAGCTTAAGCTGTAGCACAAAATAAATAAAATGTATATCACTGGATCAAAATCTAGGTCAACTGATATTAAAGTTTAAATCTGTATGTAGTTTAAATTTTATAGTTGTAGCTTTAAATACAAAAAGGTCACACGGTCATGACCCCAGGTTGCAAGAGGAGGGTGGGTTTATTTAAAGATGTGAACTAGACGTTTCATGTCTAAGCTGTAACGTTAGTGGGTTCCAAGATCTTTCTTACTATATACATTAAGGGAAAACCCATGATTTCCGGGCAGGGCCAATTTTGACCCCAGGTGTATAATTTGAACAGACTTGGTAGAGACCCACTCGACAATATCACATACCAACATCAAAACCTCTAGCTCTTTTAGTTTTGAAGAGGCAGATTTTTTAAAGCTTTTTTTCTTTCAGCATAGAATGGAATTCTTTAAAAAACTTTTTAAAACAAGAGCCCGGTTTAAGCCGGGTGATGCTCCCCGAATACGTTTTGGACACAGAAATATATACCTTGTAGTCCCTGGAAAAAGTTCAAAGTGCAATAATTTCAAAATTATGCAAGGCAGAGTAACTGTTCTTGGCACTACACTTCTGATCAATGCGATTTATCAACTTACAAAGTTTCTTGTTGATACCTCTTATGTTTTCCGAGTTATTGATCATATGACAGCTGTTTACTTTGAAATATCTTCATAGATACATGTATTTATATGTCAAGATAATTATAAACATCAAAAGCTTGTTTTCTTATGGTAATTATAAATAAATGTGGCCATACAACATCAGCTGTCTGAAAGGTCAGATCACATCGTTTTGTTATTTGTTTAATCACCTTCATTTATGTTTGTACTTTAAACACGTTTGATCTCCCCAGTTAAACAAAGATCACGTTTAGCAGTGCACTAAGAGTTCAATATAGGAACAAAAAAATTATATATAGCTTCAATATACAAAATGACGTCCATCAACCAAATAACTAACTTTTTCACCGAACTCTATAATAAGAATTCAACATATTTCCTCTTATATTCACGTTATCAAGGCAACATATCAATTATAGTTTGTATTTGTTCTTGATTGTATTTTATGACAATTATCCAGACCATGGTCATTTAAACATCGTATATCTATGAACGACCCTGATCAGATGTTTAGCAATTAATCACATTTGTAAGCACTTACAGAAACTTATAGAGCATCAACCAAACTTTGGGTTGGCTAAGTAGAAGGTAAACAAAATAAACACATCTTGCTGGAGTCATTTTATTGCACAACCCAAGCTATTATCACAGAGAAAGGAGGTCAAAAAATAAACAAATAAAAAGCATGCAATAAAATATATCTAATTGTATGCTACAAAAAGTATTGAAATATAGCATGACTTAATAAAAACAAGTTAATGATTGTAACAAGGTTTTAAAATATAATGACAACAAAAAAGAACAAAAGTGCAATAGTCACAAAATGTGCCCATCAAAAAAAGGCTCAGTCTCATAATAAACATTTTTATTAAAATCCCTCATTTAATAATTTTTTGCACACAACACTTCAACTTACAATATTGAACATTTATGCCAAGTTATATAACAATCTCCCAATGCATATATTTTCCTCACCACTTACTATGTCCTTGACCAATCGACCTACTTCATGGGTTCACCACTATTTCTAATGTTGGTGATAATTCAAGTAATCCAATCATGCCTACAATAAATATGCTCACAATAAAATCTTGACATTTCATTGTGTCTCTGGTGAGCTTGATCTCACACACATTAAGTAAGATTTTGTCCCATGACTGAATACATTTTTGATATAATTCCTCAATTCATGACTTTTGTATTGTCCATACATTCATTTTCATATTTGTGTCGGATACATAGGGGCATGGATTTTGTGTGCGACATTCCAGCTCAAATTCTGAACATTTGTGCCATGTTACATCAAAATCCCTCAATGCATGTAGAAGTTTATTTTCCAGACAAGCATTTTCCTATGACCTTGACCTTTGACCTAGAGACATGAGGTATGCTCAGACAATAGGTGCTATAGTGGTGAGCATTTGTATCAAGTCATACTTAAAATCCATTCGTGTGGAAGATATGTTCAGGGTTAAATATTAACATTTCATCATCTCTGGTGACCTTGACCTTGCATATATTGTCCTGGATTATGCAGGTACATCACAGTCATTTTAATACAATCCATCAAATCAAGACAATTACATTGACAGTACAAACATTTTTATATTTTCATATATTTGAAATCTAAGTTTGACCTTGAAGACTGACACCTGAATATTGGTGCGACACTCCGGCTTACATGCAAAGTTATATCAAATTCTTCAATGCATGTAGATTTCTGTTCTAGACAAGCAATTACCTTTGACCTGGAAGTGTGACCTTGACATGTATGATGAGCATGACACTACATCTCATGGTGGTCAACATTTGTATTATAAAATACTAAATCCATCCATGCATGTATAAGACAAATCTGGACATGGCCCACCAGGATACATAAAACAACCAACTTTTTTTCAAACATGCATATACATGTAAAAAGCATAATTATTATAGGATTGAATGATATTCCTGATTAACAATTGAAATAAAGTGGAAAAATAAAAAAGCAAAAAAAAAATACATTGATAAAAAACATTTGGACAAACTGGGCTTCACAACAACCAGTTTTGCATAAAAACAGTATAATGTTATTTTACAAAATCAATTCAAGAAAGCTTATTAGTAAAACTGCAAACATTCAATTTAGTACAAAGTACTTGCATTATGCTTTTAGTATGTACACTAAATTAAAAAGTCCAAATTCTAAATAAATAAAGTCTGACAAAAAAATCTTTGAGAAATATCTCACAGTCCCTTTTACATAAATCAAGAATATTGGTAACACCACTGAATGTTTCATTATGTTTTGACATTGACAAACAATTTAAAAGAATTTAACATTTTTTACCATTTCAACATTCTCATTAATCCAATCAAACACAAACCCCTCAGCAATGTAGAGGTCAGTGTGATGTACTTACTTACTAACAAATATCTAAGATACATTGTACTGATAACATACATTAAACTGTCTTCATTGACCTTGATATTGACGGAAGTGACCTTAAAAACTTCTGAGTCATTTATATTTGAAAGACCCTGAACCCAGCAAAGTGCAGATTCATTCCTGCTACATGTTTACCAAATATCTAAAATATTAATCAATGAATGAAACTTAATGTCAAACAGTGTAAGTGATGTTAAAAATGAACAAAAATCATTGCTAATGTATCCTCTCTGTTATGAAGTAAAAGATTATTCTGAGTTTCTGACATAACAATGGCTAAATAACCATCAAAAAAAGTTCATGACAACAAAAGGCATGCACTTAAAACAAAATCACAAAAAAAACATTGCAAAAAAACCCCAAAAAACAACAACTCCTTGTTGGATTTCCAGAGGAAGTAATTCATGTCATGACCCCAAGATTTTCACAACAGGAGATATTAATAGTGATAACATAAAACTATAGAATCTAAAAAGGTTCATTTATAGGTTGACTATCAACAGATGAAAATAAACAGAAAATGTAAAAATATCATAGAAATTAACTGAACATTGGGAAATATAAACAAACAGATTAAACAGGCTTGTCATTTTGTCAGATTACTCTTATTACAAGTACTGAAGAAATTAGAAATTTTACATCAAGGTTGTGTCTTATTACATTTAAGTTTGTGGCTATCTCTAATGACTAAAGAGAAATAATCAGATCTAGTATTGACCATAAAATAGATGTGAACTGGGGATAACAGAATAACAAATTGGCATCATATGTAAAGAAACTGAAAACATTATATTGGTAATCAAATGCAACACTGATGGAATTACACTTGTTTACAAGGACAATGTACACAATTTTCATGCGAATAAAATTTTGACATTAGGAAACTTTCAGCAATAATAAATCTGAGATTTGGACTTCCTGTGATGATTTTAAAGGGGTTAACATGAAACAGATGATATTTAATTACACATCCACTACAACTTTTATGGACTTTGGACAAACCAGCCCACAGTTGGTGTATTTCGAGATTGATTTCAGATTAATAGCTATAAAGTATAGACAAAACATCTGAAATCTAATTGACATAAATCATGTTAACAAATTGACAATATTTTACCTTTTGGTGTTTAGATTATTAGGGGATCTGACACCACTGAACGTACACTAATTTCACAGAGTTTTGTTAAAAAATCTTTTACTGTAAGCTTATGGAAAGATTATTTCCAGCTGTTTGTGTTGTTAGATACTGTCATTATTTTGTCAGTGGTCCAGCAATTAACTGAACCTGATAAAGTTCACTTACTAGAGTATTCTTTTTCAAAATAATTTATTCAACATTATTCAATATATCTTTGATTTTAGTATAATATTTGTAAGATGCCACTTTCATGTTATATAATAATTACTATATTTGGTATTATACTGAAATAACTGGTGATAGTATATCAATAAACTGACAATAGGCTGGTTATGCAATAGTTAAAAAACAAGAGCTGTCTGTAGGACAGCACGCTCGACTATTCTAAGTGCTTGATAGTAAAAGAGCCTTGATAATGTTAAATTTTTAAGTTCACAAAAGGGCTAATTTTTTTTTATAAATTCATGTTATAGGCCTTAGAGAGAGTCTAATTATACAGTATTGACTTGACTATTCGGAAGGTAATGTCACAAGGGTGTTTTATTGAGTATAATAATACTAATTACCTATGAATACATAAATTTGATAGAAAAGGTACAAAGGCTTGTTATTAAGATGTTTTATCAAGTAAATCACTGCTTTATTATTATGAATGCATAAAATTGTCCCAAAAAAGGCACAAACCCTTCAGTAGTTATTGAGATAACAGCTTACAAGCAAAACTTTACCATGAATTTCTAAGTTGAAAAAGGGGAGAAAAATCAGCCTAAATGCAAGATAGAATTATAGATCTTTGTCAGTGACCTACAATTATGACCCTAAATGCATATGTGAAGTTTTAAATAAATATCTTTAATAGTTATTGAGATATGTAAAACTTGCATGTAAACATTAACTAAGAGATTAAGTAGAAAAGGGGATATGAATTAGGCTTAATACAAGATAGAGTTATGGAACTTGGTCAGTGACATACAATTATGACCCTCCTATTATGACCCTAAGTGCATGTGCAAAGTTTCAAGTAAATATCTTTGAAGACCTTTAACCAAAATTTCTAAGTTTCAAAGGGGTAAATAAATACTGCAAATATTGCAGGCAGAGTTAAACAATTTTGCAAACTGATGTACATGGTTACTATAAAAAAGTATTTTAAATTTCAATTGAATATCTCAAGCAATAATTGAGATATCTGACTTTACAAAAAAACTTTAACCAAAATTTCTAAGTTCCAAAGGGGCATAATATTCTGTCAATATTGTAGGCAGAGTTATCCAACTTGTCAATTTGATGTACCTTGTTACTATAAATAAGTATTGTAAGTTTCAATTGAATATCTCAAGCAATAATTGAGATATTTGACTTTACAAAAAACTTTAACTAAAATTTCTAAGTTAAAAAGGGGCATAATTCTGTCAATATTGTAGGCAGAGTTATCCAACTTGTCAATCTGATGTACCTTGTAACTATAAATAAGTATTGTAAGTTTCAATTGAATATCTCAAGTAATAATTGAGATATTTGACTTTACAAAAAACTTTAACCAACACAGACGCCGACGCAGACGCTGACGCCGACTACAATAGCTCTCATATTCTTCGAAAAGTCGAGCTAAAAACCTTACACTTATAATGTTAATTTTTGATTAAGGTAAAATAGAACATGAGGGGCAGAGGTAATACACAGCAGTAACACAGAAACTGTCAAAGTCATATGGGTAGTTTTTAGCTTAATTTGTGTAGGAATTCTCATTGAAGTCACCAGATTGGAACAACCAACCTTCCATATAATAGCTGAACAATCAATTTATTGTGAAACACTTATTCTAAACAAGTGTGTGTGAAATAAAGTGATATAATACAGTTAATTTAAACCATAAAATTAATCAACACTGGGTGTTGTTCACATGGTTAACATACTAGTGGTATATATACTTGTAAATAGAGCAAGAGTTGTTGGTAGGACTGAGTGCTCGACTATTCTCAGTGCTTGATAGTAAAGCAAGAACCTAGATAATGTAGATTTTTATAAGTTCAAAAAGAGCCATAATTATGTCAAAATCCATGTTAGGGTTCTGGACCTTGGACAGTGACATTTGATTATGCTCTCAAAAAGTGTATGAAGTTTCAACCCATTCCCTTCAATACTTTTGAGATACCAATTTGCTTGCAAAAACTTACCCAAAGTGCAATGCCAATACCTTGGTGCGTACAATAGCTTTCCCTTTTCTTCGAACAGGCAAACTAATTATTAAATTACTGGTGTAACTCTCCAGGAATGATGGATAGGAAACAACCCGCCTATATGACTGAAATACTGTTGGAAAAAGGCGTAAAATGAAACAAACAAACAAACAAACAGTTATTGAATTAAGCACAATTTTAGAGACAACCATGTCATGTATACTGTCTTGATTATAAATGTGTGCTGTTTATATATAAAATGATTAAGAGACTTTAATAATTCTCAATTTGGACTTTTGGCACAGTGGCTGACTCAGCTTTGACTTCATGGATACACAACATTTGATACTGAAAAATCTATGCAGATATGCCATTAGAACAATAAAATATTTCTCCAAATTATGGCATGTACATCTCTGAAATATAAACAATTCTTATTTTCAATTAAATTAATTTAATGAATTGTTCATAAAATGAACCTTTAACTTGGATAGAAAAAAACACACTTTTTGCATAGGTAAAGTTGAAACCACATTTTTTTTCCAAACCATTATTTCAGTTTTACATAATCACATAACATGTGCACTTTAGTTAACCATTATTTGAGTTCTGTATTTCTTTTTAACAAATCCATTAATATTATGTTTGTGCACTTACTGTGTGAAATAGATAAACAAATAGAATAAATATAAAAATGGTTTTAAGCGGTTACAACTATTATCACAATAAAATGTATAATACACACTGTTTGCAAATTTAAACAACAACAAAAAAAAAACACATAAAAAGCTTGTTCATAAATATGTAAGTGACAGTAAGTCAAATAATTATGTAATGCTAAAAAAGTATAGATTTAAGATCACATCTTATAGCTGCTATGTTTTACAGGCAGGTAAAATTTTGTAAATCTTATCATGAGACAATAACCAAGACAACAGTATTTCATGGTTAATTTACTATCTAACAAAATTACTTGACCAATAAGAGAGCAATGGTTGCCTTGAATCACTCCCCAAAATATTTATCTAATATTATTCAAAATACTTAGTAGCACTATCAGGAAGTGTCACAGACTTAGGTTTTCCACCAATAATAAATTTTTTACATAAATGTTGGAAGCTTACTTCTAATTGAGGTTCAATATGCCCTTAAAATGACTCGCCAAAATTATTTTAGATGAGACCTAAAAGCACTATGGACAACAAACAGGCAAAAAACATGTAGCATCGCCTTGACTATTTTAATAGCTCATCCTTAACCTTAGGTTCTGTTGAACTAAAAATCATCATTACAATAATGGTTTTTCTTAACATGGTTTTAAAACAGTACTGAAGATTGACGGTTTTACGCACAATAAAAAGGTTGACACATTCTGCTACAAGCATGGTGTATCAAAACAACAATATGTAAAACAATAATCAAATCTAATGACCATGGACTAGTTTATAGAATAATGTATCTTGAGTCTGTAGCAAGCGCCCTGGAGGAGCAAATTCTGCCACTTTCCCATCATTCATTACCAGAACTCTGTCACTGTTCATTATAGTGTTTATTCTATGCGCTATTGTAAGAACTGTACTATCAACAAACTCCGAGCGAATGGTTTGCTGTATTAGCATGTCGGTCTCCAAATCCACACTTGCTGTTGCCTCATCTATACATAATATCTGAAATAATAATATTTTAGCTGCTGATTTTAACTGATAAAATTTAAGAATTTAAAATCATAAACAAGAGGGCCATGATGGCCCTGAGGTCGCTCACCTGTATATAGACCCCCCCACCCCCGGGGCCAATTTTTACCCAAGGGCTTTTATTTGTTTATTTGAACAGACTTGGTAGACACCCATAAGAAGATGTTTCATGCTAAACATCTAAGTTCTAGCTCATTGGCTTTTTTAAAAGAAGATTTTTAAAGTTTTTACTATACACATATAGTTAAAAACAATGTCACCCCTGGGGCAGGGCCAGTTTTGACCCCAGGGCGTTTATTTTAACAAACTTTGTAGATATTTACTTAAAGATGTTTCATGCTTAATATCTAAACTCTAGCTATTTGGGTTTTTCCAAAAAAGATTTTTAAGTTTTTGCTATACACATATAAGGAAAATCAATGACCCCCCCCAACCCCCCAGGCGGGGCCAGTTTTGACCCTAGGGCTTTTATTTGAACATACTTGGTAAACACCCATTAGAACATGTTTCATGCTAAATATCTCAGCTCTAGCTCTTTGAGTTCTTTAAAAGAAGATTTTTTAAGTTTTTACTATATGCATATAGGGAAAATCAATGACCCCCTGGGGCGGGGCGAATTTTGACCCCAGAGCTTTTATCTGAACAAACTTGGTAGACACTCATCAGAAGATGTTTCATGCTAAATATCTTAGCTCTAGCTCTTTGGGTTCTTTAAAAGAAGATTTTTTAAGTTTTTACTATATGCATATAGGGAAAATCTATGACCCCCCTGGGGCAGGGTCAATTTTGACCCCAGGGCTTTTATTTGAACAAACTTGGTAGACATTCACTAGAAGATGTTTCATGCCAAATAACTAAGCTCTAGCTCTTATAGTTCTTTAAAAGAAGATTTTTTAAGTTTTTACCATATGCATATAGGGAAAATCAATGACCCCCGGGGCGAGGCCAATTTTGACCCCAGGGCTTTAATTTGAACAAACTTGGTAGACACTCACTAGAAGATGTTTCATGCTTAATATCTTAGCTCTAGCTCTTTGGGTTTTTTAAAAGAAAATTTTTTAAGTTTTTATTATATGCATATAGGGAAAATCTATGACCCCCTGGGGCGGGGTCAATTTTGACCCCAGGGCTTTTATTTGAACAAACTTGGTAGACATTCACTAGAAGATGTTTCATGCCAAATATCTAAGCTCTAGCTCTTATGGTTCTTTAAAAGAAGATTTTTTAAGTTTTTATTATATGCATATAGGGAAAATCAATGACCCCCGGGGCAGGGCCAATTTTGACCCCAGGCCTTTAATTTGAACAAACTTGGTAGACACTAACTAGAAGATGTTTCATGCTTAATATCTTAGCTCTAGCTCTTAGGGTTCTTTAAAAGAAGATTTTGTAAGTTTTTACTTTATGCATATAGGGAAAATCAATGACCCCCTGGGGCGAGGCCAATTTTGACCCCAGGGCTTTTATTTGAACAAACTTGGTAGACATTCATTAGAACATGTTTCAAGCTAAATATCTTAGCTCTAGCTCTTTGGGTTCTTTAAAAGAAGATTTTGTAAGTTTTTACTATATGCATATAGGGAAAATCAATGACCCCCTGGGGCGGGGCCAATTTTGACCCCAGGGCTTTTATTTGAACAAACTTGGTAGACTCTTACTAGAAGATGTTTCATGCCAAATATCTAAGCTCTAGCTCTTAGGGTTTTTTAAAAGAAGATATTTAAAGTTTTTTCTTTCGGTTGCCATGGCAACCAGAGTTCTGCATGGAATTAAATTCTTTGAACAATTTTTAAAGGTGACCACCAAAGGAACATTCCTGTGAAGTTTGGATGAAATTGGCCTAGTGGTTTATGAGGAGATGTCATTTAAAGTAAAAGTTTACGGACGACGGACGGACGACGGACGACGGACGAAAAGCGATCACAAAAGCTCACCCTGTCACTTTGTGACAGGTGAGCTAAAAAGTGTTCACGTTATTTTCAAGAATTATGTAAATTCAAAGTGACATTACAACATTATAAGGATCTTACACTGACTGCCGGTGCAGAACAAAATATCTAGCTTGAGGGTAATTGCTTATGGCAGTAACAAGTTACCCTAGAGCTAGACATTCATATCCTTGACAACAGCCAGCATTTTATTCTTTTTTTTCCCAGATTACTCATAGTCATAATGTGGAAAGATATATTACGAAAAACTTATATCTTCTTTCAGCACCTTATTTTTACAGAGCAAAGGAAATTACAAATTCATTCATAACAGCATAATGACTTCATTCTAAGAAAACAATAAAAGGGGCAAAGGATGCACATAACTTGTCTTAAACAAGGGGTGTAAGACAGATCTTTCAAGCACTGATATTAAAAGTAGATAATATTGTCTGACACGAAAAATCTAACTGTATCCTGTGTTTTACCAATCAAAAAATGGTAAAATTCACTGTTAATGAGCAAGAATCTTGAATTAATTGCATCTGCCATGTGAAACAGATCATCTAATTGAAAGCCCCAAAGTGACCATAGGACATGAGTAAAACAATTTTGGAAAGACACAATTTGCAATATAATATCATTAAAATATAATGACACAAAAGTTTTCAGACATTTTACTTGTGGAAAGGTGTATGAACTAAGAATCCTGCTCTACATAAAATCTACTGACTGAAAATCACTTGTTCCAAGAATGTATTCATATTTATATTGTAATAACTGCTTGCACACGATAGATCTGACATGTATGTAATATAACAGTTCTTTATAATTTGGCTGAACAAACTTTCACAATAGGTCCACAATCATCTTAAAACTGGCAGTTAACAGCAATTATTTGTTTGAAATACTTGTTTTTCTCTTTTTATCCTCTTAGTAAATTACATGTTGCACTACAAGTACTATTCAAGTGGCTGGAAACCCGGTATTTGACTAACACTGGTGATGTCTGTCAGTTATATAAATGATTAATTTTGTCAAGATTAAATGATAAGTATATGTCTGTCTCAAATATCCATTTGTTGGAAGACAAAGTATCTGGACTAGAGTATTTTTTCATGTAAAGTTTAAATGGTCAAATTAAGACCTGAAATGATGAAATATTTGCTGGCTTTTATTTTCTTGTGATTTTTATAAACTAGAGAAAATTGCAAACATTTCCATGTCATGAACTTTAAAACATATACAAACTTGCAAATATTTCAATGTCATGAACTCTAAAACATATACCAATTGCAAACATCTGCATGTTAGAACTTTAAAACATACCCAAATTGCAAACATTTCTGTGTATTTAACTTTGAAACTTATACAGTAAGTGGATACCCAACTGTTATCCCTTTATTTTTTGATACATGAAAGATTTAGCCCAGAATTATCCCTGTGAGAATCAATATTATATCAGAGATTAGAGGACATTATAATATATGAGCTGTGTCACAACAAAACCAACAAAATGGCTTTGCCACCAGCATGGATCCAGACCAGCCTGCGCATTTGCGCAGTCTGATCAGGATCCATGCTGTTTGCTATCAGTTTCTCTACTTGTAATAGTTTTTGTTAGCGAACAGCATGGATCCTGATCAGACTGCGGGGACGCGCAGGCTGGTCTTGATCCATGCTGGTCGCAAACCCATTATGTTGGTTTTGACGTGACGCAGCTCATATAATAATGACAATGCTCTACTGAATCATGTCCAGGCCCTTGAGATGTACAAAAAATACTTACAGGTCAATTTTGTTGCAATGAATGTAACACAATGGAAACGATAAATGATTTAGACAAACCTTGATTTCAATTATCAGTCTTGAGTGAACAACAAATACTGGTAGTTACAATAATAAAAGTATAGATATCATGTAATGTTTTTTATCACATGGCATTGTTTGTTTACTCTGTAATAAATCCATTAACCTTTTTTTTCCTAATACATGTACAAGCATTTGATAGAAAACAGTATGACAACAAGGACACTTTGTAAAATTATTGCAGATTTCATATCATATATTTGTTCAAGGTTGCATCATTCACAATTTCAGCTTTATCAGCAAGGATGTATTGTTTAAAACAAACAATACTCATAAAAGTATTATATTTGAAGGCAAGTTGTTGAGGAGAGTAAACCGTACATTATAAAACAAAAAGTGGGGCATCTCTTATCTTAAAGTGCACTTTATATTAAAGGAACATATTCCTTCAGAGCAAATGAGTTAAAAGGACAAAAGCAATGAGTGGTGGTATCACATAAAATTATCATTGTTTGAAATCATCTCTATAATTATAATAAGTAGAAACAGTCAAATATTTATAATCTGTAACAAAATTTATATCTAAATAAATATACCATAACTGTGTGACTGTCATTTTTAAAGTTTCATTTTCATGTTTTGTAGTTCTCTAAAAACAGAGTCCTTATTTTACATAGAAGCATCAACACAGAAGTTGGATAATAACATACCTATTGCCCACAAGCAATTTGCCTATCTACTGACAAAGAGATAAAGATTAATCTAAAAACCATAATCAACTCTGCAGATAGGACAATATATGCACAAAGTTCACATAGTTCACATCTGCAGTAAATATGTAGGCTAATCACAGCCTAGAATTCTTTACAGTTAATAACCAAAACATGTACTAGTACTTAATGGCACACAATGAATGCTGTTAAAGTCCATTTATTATATGACGTAAAAGGGCAAGCAGAGCTTTTGTGTCCAATATCAACATGGAGACAAATGATAAAAGAATGATTATGGTATATAATCCACATTGATTAAAGAACTAACAGGGGTGTCTTATAGAGGTTAAAGCCTATGGAAAATTTGTTAATATGTATACAAGGGTTGCTGCAAAACTGCAGTAACTAAAATGAAATAAAGAAGGACTAACAACAGTTTTGCAGTCAACCCTCAATACATGGAATTCTGAGAAAATCGAAAATATCAAAATAAAATTTCTACTTGACAGTGAACATGTTAATTATACTGTATACTGCTTAGGGTTAAATTTACACTTTAAAATTCAAAGACCTAAAGGGACTCCACTGCGCTTTTTGACATAAAGGGACTGAAAATAGTTCTTCAAGATTTTGTATAAGTGGATGTAGGTCTGGTCCAATATTATGTGTACAAAATTTCATATCATTCTCTAACTCCATTTCCCTGGAATAACAAATTGTTTTGTGAAAACTAACCCCAAAATAAGGGCTACAATACTTTTCACTAAAATCCGCTAAAAAGTCACATAAAAAATTGATTATTAATTTGATACTGGCTATATACATACATTATCTGTTGCATACTGGTACCATTTAAGTGCACCAGTTGATTTATGAAAGATTTTTAAATTTTATGATTTCAGGCCAATGGAGGTCAGTGGAGATTTTTAAGTGCCCCTCTTTTCTTGCACAGACAGGCAACTGACAAAAACCACATACTAGTATATGGGATGCTGAAGACAATATTTGGTGATGAATGATTCACCTCTTTTTCTTGATAAAAAGTCTTTCTAAAGGTATTGCAATTTCAATTCTAGCAGCTTTAGATTCATGAGAAGTTGTGTAAAATTATTTCTATTTTTCTTATAAAGCTGCATCTTAAATTGGTGGATCAAATTTATCTAAACTAGATACATATAAGCTCCCATTGGCCATCATTGTCTAAAAATAAAATAAAACATTTAAGTTTACTAAATGCAGTATGATCAAACTTTATCTGCTGGCCACTCAATGTGAGGATTTTCATGTCAATTTACAATGCACTTCAATTAAAAATTCAACATTTTACAACATAAGCAGGTATAAAACTAGTAGCCAGCACAGGGGTTTTCCAGCGTTTTCCATGGCACAATTTTCTGTGTCAAATATAAAAACAATTTATAAAACTGCAACCTTGGGTAAGCAGAAAGCTTTCTGAAAGCTGTTAAGGTCAGAAATGATGTACTGCCTTACATTTGAAGTGATAAAGGGAGGAAAATAAGTACCAATTTAATAGAATTACTTTCTAGGATTTAGTATAATTGGAGAATCTACTGCAAGTATGGGGTCACATGTTCTGTTATCATTTATTGTTTTGGTAGCAAAACGTCATACTGCAGCATGAATGTTTAGCATGATGGCATCGGTTAGTAAAAGTAAAAAATATTCAAACAGTTTGAAATTTCATCTGGCATGGGGGGGGGGGGGGGGGGGGGGGGGGGGGGCAGATGTGTTGCATGCTATACAATGTTTTTTTAGCCCATTTTATGAATAAACCAACTTAAAATGAAGTCATTATGGCATATTTAAGAATAAAACTGCATGCCATTAATTTTTTTTCCCTGCAAAATTATTTTATTGGGGTAAAATATTTAAAACAAGCATTTGATAGTATTGCGGGCAATACAGTAGTCCCCTACCGGTCCCTCAAAAAGTTCTTTAATTGTCATACACTCCTGTGTATTGCCATTTATAATGAATTTGAGGATGAAGTCTGTATTTGAAAATATCAACCACAAATCATAATAAAATAAGTTTGTCTATATCACAGTAATGTGTTAAGTTTCCATGCTTAGTAAGGAAATTATGTTTATACAACCTTGTCATATTATTACGATGTGGGATTTTAAAGTAAATCCTATAAGGAATGAAGAAGTTGGAGTGAAAATACCAGTTTCTCGAAAAAAATCTAAGTTCAAGGGGACATAATTCTGGAAATAGTCTTGCTAGAGTATTTAACCTTCTCAAAAATGTCGAGTGATAATAAGAAACATATATATGAAGTTTGAAGTAGATACATTAGGAAATAAAGAAGTTATTTAAAAAAGACAACATTTTTTCCCCTAAAAAATCTAAGTTCAAGGGAGGTAATACTGATATTTTTTTGTGCTAGAGTTATGAACCTTGTCACATATGATGTGGTTGATGACCAGAAACTTATATTTAAAGTTTGAAGTGAACACCGTAAGAAATAAAGAACTTATAGTGAAAAAGCTGAAAATTTAAATCAGAAATCTTGAAATTCAGGCTATTTGTTGCCATAGCAACCAGAATTTTCAACATAGGAAGAAAAGAAAAAAATGTGCATAATCTCCAGACTGCCATCTACCCATATTTCAAGTTTCATAAAAATATTTTCAGTACTTTTTGAGTTATCACTGGATCCAGTTTATGTGTTAAATTTGCCATATTTTCAGACTATTTGTTGCCATAGCAACCAGAATTTTCAACATAGGAAGAAAAAAAAAAGACGTGCATAATCTCCATACTGCCATCTATCCATATATCAAGTTTCATAGAAATATTTTCAGTACTTTTTGCGTTATCGCGGGATCCAGTTTTGTGGACGGACGGACTGACGGACTGACAGACTGACAGACAGACAGACAGACGGACAGACAGACGGACAGACAGACAGACGGACAGACGGACGGAGGGTAAACCTAAAGTCCCCTCCGGTTAAACCGGTAGGGGACTAATAAGAAAAAATATCTGACATGTGTTTACAGTTCAGATAACATATAACAGATAGTATTGATAAAGGCATTTAGCTTAAAGATTTTTTGACACCTGATTTTCATTAATGGGCCCCCATTTTCACCAAGTGTGAGACACTCAGGGACCCCTAAATTTTGGACAAGATGTAAAACCCTGAATGTTGCAATGGTTTAAAATTATAGCAAAATAAGAGGCAAATCTTACACAATCTGAAATTTTTGGTAGTATGAAATGAATAATCATCTATTTTAATGTAAATACATAAACATATAGAATGATTTTAACTTGACCTTTATTTTTTTAAAAAAAGGTCAATCCATCTTGTGTATATAGTAGTTTTAAGGCGAATAAATCCTGAGAACAACAACAACGGATTCTACAAACTATATAACAGCACCAACCTTAGCTTTTGTTAACAAAGCGCGAGCCAGGCACACCAGCTGACGCTGCCCAACTGAGAAATGACGGCCCCTTTCTGCAACATCACCACAGAGACCCCCTAACCGCTGTACAACTTCTTTAAGGTGACATTTTTCTAACACTGACCATAACTCGCTGTCCTTATACATCCCTGTAGGGTCAAGATTTTCTCGTACTGTGCCACTAAACAGGAATGGATCCTGAGGTATGATAGCTAACCTTGACCTAAAAAGGTTAATAAACCATCATGATATTTCAACAGATACCTGTACCAAAGACTTTACAGCAAATGAAAATTTCATCACTTTGTCTTATTTCATAACATGTTTTTTGGTATAACATACTTCACAAACATGAGCAGTCACTGAAATCCTGCAAGTTATCCTTTGGATGCCTGATAGTCAACAAGAATTACAGAGGTGCTGTCTAAATTAGGAAAGGGGCCAATTCTTTTGTTATTTTCTTATATTAAACAAAGGCCATGACCCCTTAAAATAAAGTGTATTGTTTCCTTATGATCCATTAAGACTAAGACGGCAGTTTAATTTGATTATTCACTCTGACAGACAGATTTTTTCACAGACTGATAGTTATGTGGATACCCAATTGTTCAACCATTATAATTTAGCCACGCAAGATTTCAGCCACTTAAAAACCATACTAAATAAATAGCACCAGAGGTCATATAAATTTGTATGATATCATCAGAAAATAGATATAGCAGGTACCTTATGTCTTTTAAATCCAAGTGAATCAGATCTATACCATCAACAAATATATTTCCTTTATATATTTCCACCATTCTAAACAAGGCTAGAAATAAGCTAGATTTTCCGGAACCAGTCCGTCCTACAATGCCAACTTTCTCGGCTGGTTCCACTTCAAATGAGACCTTGTCAAGTGCAGCTGTGAGGTTACTTCTGTACTTTAATTTTACATGACGGAAAACTATTGAACCCTGCAGTGGCCAGTAGGGTGGTGGCTGAAAAAAGAGAGAAAAACCTGTCAATGAAAAAAAAATCTATGCTTGTTTCAGGTAAAATATACTGGAATTCATTTCAAGTAAATTTACAAGTTTGAAATAATTCTATCACTTAAAATAATTCTTATGCAAATTAATATCAAAGAAATCATAATACTTTAAATTTTATTTTAATATTGAACCTGTGTAATTAAATGTGTATGAAACATAAAAAGGTCCACTTGAGCATAACAGCTGTAAGACAACATGCTTGACTATTATCAGGGCCCTACAGTAAGAAAAGGGGCATTAACTTTGTAAAAAGGTAAGTTAAACTCAGACTCATGGAACTTGTGCCCATCATGTAAGATAATCACTGAGAATAAGTGTGTGAAGTTTCAATCTATTTCCTTCAGTATTTTTGGAAATGGTGAAACCAACACTGATGCCCAATCACTCTCCCTTTTTCCTTTTTTTCATAGTCAAACTAATAATAAAGGTGAGAAAATCAAGCATGAGGGCTATTAATCACTTTTTATACCTGTTTTAATTATTTAATAAAAAAAAAAAAAAAAACAGAATTATTCTGTTCATAAAATTATGTGCCTTGTTTATAACTGCTAACCACATGATTTTTATTTCTCATCACTGTTAGGAAACATGCCCATTATCTTAACAATAGTATAGTTATGGACACCTGGATGTATATGTTTTGGTTGAATTTTCATTCTTTCTAGACATTTCATTAATAAGTCAGAATTACAGATTTTTTCAAATGTGTATCAAAAATGAATGCATTTGTAAAACAAGAGGGCCAAGATGGCCCTAGATCCCTCCCCTGACCCATTGACCTCATCCAAGCAATGTCTAAGACAAGCAGCATCCTGACCAAGTTTGATGACAATTGAGTAAAAAAATGTGACCTCTGGTGTATTAACAAGGTTGATCTATATATGGGCAGTGTGACCTAGTTTTTGACCCCAGGTGACCCATATTCAAACTTAACATAGAAATCATCAAAACAAATTTTCTGATCAATTTCCAGGATATTTGGATAACAAAAGTAGCCACTAGAGTGTTAAAACAGTTTTTAACCATAACCAATCTTCAAAACAACCTTCTTGATCAACTTACAGGATATTTTTAGCTCCTGTGTTCTAGTTTTTGACTGGAGATGATCCATATCTGAACTTGACCTGTATATCATTGAGACAAACATTCTGGCAAAGTTTGGTATGATTTAATCAAACTGTGACTGCTAGAAAGTTAACAACCAAATGTTGATGACGAATGATGCACAACACACAGTGATAGACGCTAGACATAGCCCCATCACTATACCTCACCTTGACCACTTCATTGTCAGGTGAGCTAAAAAGAAGATAACATAAATACAGTGAGACCTTCCATGCTTCCTTATGGAATGACACAAGTACAGATAAGTTCCAGGAAGTAGCATTTAGAGTGGTGCATATAAGCTGCAAGTTTTCTTCACAATCAAGCTTAAATAACTTAAAACTAAAACAAATTAACTATCTCACCAGTAGGGAACCATCTAATCTTTCATTTGGAACATCATCAATATACTGCTGTGCTCTTTCTACACTGACCATCTGTTTTTCAGTCTCAGCAAACGAGTTCACCACACCACTTAACAGATTGGTTACTGATAAAGCATAAGATATGGCCAGTCCAACCAGCCCTAAATAAAACAATAACAGACACTTATAAGAAAGGGGTTGTTCTTGCTATTTCCAGAATTTTGAATGAACACTATTTGTAATTTTGAGATCATTTGTGACTTTAAATAAAGGACACAAGCAACCACACAGAAGTTTTGTCAACCATACAAAAATCAAGCAATAGGCAACAACTAAATAGACTTCTGGCTGACATTCCAGTTAAATGACTGACATTCAAGGGCAAAACAATATATTATATAAGATAACAATTTTGACCCCAGGGCTTTTATTTGAACAAACTTGGTAGACACTCACTAGAAGATGTTTCATGCAAAATATCTAAGCCTTAGCTCTTATGGTTTTTTAAAAGAAGATATTTAAAGTTTTTTCTTTTGGTTGCCATGGCAACCAGAGTTCTGCATGGAATTAAATTCTTTGAACAATTTTTAAAGGTGACCACCAAAGGAACATTCCTGTGAAGTTTGGATGAAATTGGCTCAGTGGTTTATGAGGAGATGTCATTTAAAGCAAAAGTTTACGGACAGACGGACGGACGCCGGACGGCGGACGAAAAGCGATCACAAAAGCTCACCCTGTCACTTTGTGACAGGTGAGCTAAAAAATAGGTGGGGTAGGGTAATATTTTTATACAGATTTCATAAATTTTATGTAGAAACCATAATTTTGCTTATGTGGATTTTTAGCTGAATGGTATTATTTGATTCTTACCAAAAATTAATGGGAAAATATTTTTCATTAGAATATTATTGCAGATTATTTAAAGGTTCCTCATTTCTAAATAAGGCCCTAATAACATCCTAGCTTGAGTTCAGAAAAGTGGCCATATCTTGATTTCCGTACGGTAAATTTTGTTTAAATTGTGCATACAGGTGTACTTTAAGGTATATATCTGACCTATGATGTCAATTTTTTAGTTCCTTATAGTGCCCATTAGGGTCTTAATACCTTAAATACCTTAAGTGGTACATATACAGTGAGAAAATATTAACTTGAACACATGAACTCATGCATTCAAAGTATGATGAAGCATACACTTTCATAACATATAACAATTGATAATATAAATCTATACAGTTTCATCTCTACCTGGGTTGACAGTCTGAAAATGATGTTCTAGTACAGCTATAAATGATATTCCTGTTACCATGGCAACGCCTAACATCTGAAGATAGAATGACAACCAGCTAGCAACAGCCTGGGCAGAGTATACAGCTCTCTGGTTTGTGTCCAGTTTATCAAGATTCTCTTTCTGAAATCTAAAAATGGAAAAAATTTTATCAGATAATTTAATGAACTAACTTCAGTTTATAATAGTGTATACTATTTGATATAACACACATATGATTTGTTCTTCATCTTAAGGAGTAATAATGGATTGAAATATATTATGGTGTAAAGAATGCTAAAAATTAATTTATTGAGAGAACAAAATTGAAAATTAACAATTCCTTTTAAATAATCATAGGATGTTCAATGTAACTGATTCATAAAGTAATAGATTAATAGTAACTTTCATTTGAAAGTAACAAAATGTTATTGCAGTTAACAGTTTAAAGAACTACCAATTTATGTTTATAATTCTAATTTTAAAACACATAATGACATATATAACTGTCCTCAATATGTCACATCCAACTAAATTTTTCAAACAGCTTTCAAGCTTTAATTGATGCTGATTGGAATTACCACAAGAGTAAATGACAAACCTTTAAACAACTTTCTTGGCAGCTCACAAAAGCACTAAATCTTACATTTCTGCAGCCAAAGATTTTTAGCAAGTCATAAGAGGCAAATGATTCTAAGTTGCTCTTATTAACATATTGTACATCATTTCAAATACATATTTTTTAGGACAAAAACTAAACAGATGAAGCAGAAAATATTACATATGTCTACCTTTCTTGTTCCCTCATAGCTCTGATTGTAGTCATACCAGAAATAGTCTCGGAGAAATGAGCGTATATAGGTGACAATGTTACACTTGAGATCCTTTTAATTTCACGGGACGTATGCCTGTAGTAATTCTGAAATGATATTACATAGCATTGAAGCAACTCATTATTTAGTAATTAAAGGCAAAAACTATAACTTATCTTATATCTAATATACAGTGGAACCTGTCTAATTCGAACTCGTCCGGACCAGAAGAAAAGTTCGAATTAGAAAGGTTTCCGGATTAGAAAGGTTTCCGAATTAGAAGGTTCTTTTACATGTTTTTTCATGTTACATGTATTTGCAAAATAGTTTAGGGAAAGAAAACGGGAATGCATTTGAAATTGCAATTTAGATATTTTATTTTTGCAGTCTCTTATCGTTCATTCTGATACATGTGAATACAAAAATAAAGAAATGAAAATAAATAAATAAGCAAAAAAATATTATGTCCTCAAGTGTAAGTTAACCTATGATGTAAAACAGGAGGCGGAGACATAATTAAATATTCGTACCAGCATTTGTCAATTGTTGTTTACTCTTATCCGATTCAGCGACTATCCGAATTCACTAACAGTTTTTATTTATTTTCATTGCTTAAAAACGTATCATTGAATCCATTACAAAGGATTAAAAGATATTTTTATTGTATTATATCAAAATATTTATTGAAGGTGACGAAAAAAACAATCAATTAAGAAATTATAGAAGATATCAAGGCAAGCAAAGTGTAATTTTCACAGCTTTGCCGATCATACGTTTCACCCATTAATCAAGTGAAATAACACATCAGTTTTGTGTATGTTTACACCTGCAAGATGTGCGATTATTTGTTATTTTGAATGAAGGTGTGACATTTGGCAAAATCTGTTCGGATCCGAGAGGTAAATTTTAGAGTAAAATAATAACAAAAATTGAAAAAATAGTCCGGAATTCGGAGTAGACAGGCTCCGAAAATAGAACGAATAAAATCGGGACCGGACACTTCGTTCGGATAAGAAAGGATTCCGGATTAGAATGGTTCAGATAAGCAAGGCTCCACTGTATATCAAATATCTAAAATTGTATAACTGTTAAACCATAAACAACTGTTTACCATTTCAATATCAAGACTGTACTCATCAAATAACAAGAGTTTTTTGTAAGACAGCGCACTAGGCTTTTTCTCTGAGAAAAGGGGCACAACTAAGGTTACTTAAGAGAAATTGTACCTGTGCCAATCATGTAAGATAATCACAGAAAACATGAGTATGAAGTTTCAGCCTATTTGCTGCAGTAGTTTTGGAGATACATCTTGCACACAAAAACTTAACCATAGTGTGACAATTATGACATCAACACCCCTTCTGGTGTGAGCACAATAGCTCTCAGTCTCCCTGTTCTTCTATTAAGTGAGCTAAAAATCAACAGCATCATACCAGCTAAAATAGAGAAAATTTGCATCTATATTATTTCTATTATGTTTGTTATTCCTCACATATCATAACTATTTTCTTATGTAATATGCTTTCCATGCATTGACATTTGCTTCCATGCATATCTTTTTTATATCAAAATAATGAAATAAAACAGTGGACAGATAGTCTGGCTAGATTTCACAGATGCACAGGCTAGAAGAGCTTAGTATTTTAAGAATATGAGTTTGAAATATTTCAAATCTGTTACAGAATCATAGAATAATCTTAACACATACCTGTATCTTATAATACAACAACCCTAATGGAAGAAGAAGCACTGCAAACCAAGGTAATCCATAGCAAGTAACAACAATGGTCCCAAGTATACCGTAGATTTGAGCAAGAAATATATTCATGATAAATGGTAGAGAATCATCTATAGAAAACACATCAGTTGAAAATCTGTTCACGATGCGGCCAATTGGAGTTACATCAAAGAAGGATACTGGAGCCTGAAAAAATAACAATAAAATCTGAAATTCCTTTCTTAAAAAATATTTGTTTAGCTTAAAAAAGATATGAGAAAACGCAAGTGTGACTCAAGTAGTATTCAGAATTCAAGAAATGTATAGTCGCAATAAGTGACACTTTGAATGGTTTATGTAAAATGTAACTGACTTCACTACTTTTAGCATTTTTTTTACAAGTGAAGGTAGGATTAACATAACTGGTTCCAAGAAGGTAATTTCTATGAAAAGGAAGTGCTTCAGGCTAGCTCAAGTCATTGCCCTTGTACATTTGATAATGTTTTTACTTCTTAGACAGGGTTGCACCTAGAATTTCAAAATTATGGGGGATAGTCCCCCACTCAACTGAAAAATGTGAGGGCTTTGATAAAAATGTGGGGGACATACATTTACAGGTGGATATGACATACCGAAAAGGAATAGAAAACATAAAATATTGACAAATACAACAATATACACGCCAGATGACCTAGTCAGCTGCTACACGTGATTTAGCATGCATTTAAGTCATTACCGCGAGTGAAAACAAACATGGCTGAAGCGTTCAAGATACAATGAAGATAAAACAGAATTAAATTGAAAAGATTGTCAAATGTGCAACTTGGTGCGCATTGACTTCATTTAAATGCGCAATCTGCATGAAATATGCGCAAATCATGCCGCCTAGATGCAACACTGCTTAGACCTCTTTCTAAATTAACTTTAAGATTAAGCACAAATCATTTTCCTTTTGATTAACCACAAATCAAGAGAGGTGTTGCTCTGAAAATTAGCTTTCTATTATTTCAAAATAAAAACAAAACAAACTAAGCAGATCTTTTTTTCTATGTATCAGAGATATGCAGTCCATACTTGTCATGAGCATACAACGTTTATCAACTTTCTGTACCCCAAATTCTATTTTTGACATCATTAAGATTTAATTGAAAATTTTTTACAATCAATAAAGACTAACATTTTTAACTGAGAATATGATATTCAAGGACATAGATCTGTTTTTAACAAAAACTGACCTTTAAAATGTTACTCAGTAATTTTCTGTGTATAGTCTGTGCTGCACATATTCCACCATAGGCAAACAGGAATGCTCTAAACAAAGTAAATATAGAGTTTGCTGCAGCTAGACATCCATATACTGTCAGATAAAACACTATGTTATCTCCTGCAGTAGTCATATTATATATACTGTTGTTGATTGTTACCATCCTGCAAAAATAAGAGGAAGAAAATGCAAATATCTAACTGTTATGAGAAAAAAATACATTCAAGTATATGTAACTTTTTGCATTAGAAATATAAACATGATTAAATAATAACAGCATGTAAGATGTTTTACAACTGAAAAAAATTGTGCTGAACATGCCATTATGTGTCTTAACCCATTACTTCATGAGCATTTTGTGAAAAATGGCTGTTTTCATTGAAAAGTCTCCCGTTACAAGTTCAAATTGCTATAGTACTATAAAAACTGCTTCAACACTAATCAAACTTGGCACAAATGTTGACTGGACCATTTTCCTTGCAACAACATGCTCAGGCTTAAATTTTCTGTTACCATGGCAACGAGGGGACATCTCAAAATTGCCAAAAATCACTATTTTGCGTTGATTTTTTCCATCAAAATTGATTTCAAAGTGCTGCAACTTCTCAATGGATTGAGATAGAGTCAAATGCTTTCAGCGTTGGTTACACGTTACCTTATGATCAATCTGGGGTCATTTACAGCCTCTCACAAGTCCAAAATTTTCTTGGCGATGAGGGGTACTCCGCCCCCCCCAAACAGAAGGGGGCACATCCCCCTTCTGGCAACCCCCTGATGTATCTTTTGGTTGGGGGGCCGCGCCGAAAAAAGGGTCACTTTTTTTAACAACATTTCTCAAACAAAAACAAGTGTTTGGGGCCTAAATAAGGCATTTTTTCATCATTTGAGACAACAAAAAGGGGGGGGGGTGAAAAAGGCGTTAAAAGGCGTGTATATGAAGTAATGGGTTAAAGGTAGCAAAATGTAAACAAAGTTGTATTTTGACTTCCATACAAAATGCTAATTCACTATAATTGTACAAATTGCAAACAGAACTAAAGATGCAAAAGATAGTTCATGTATATAGCAAATGAGTATGTTTTGGAAACTGTAACAAGATACCAAAAATAAACAGTTTTTGAGAAATAAAAATGATAGCATTTCTGAGGCATAATGGGCCTTTAATAAAGAATGAAGAAACTACAATATGTATCAAAAATCAAGGTTTTAAAACTACAACTTCAGTTACAGTTATAATATGCAAGTATGTTATATTTCCCATCAGTATATTGTTTTATAATTGTGTTGTTTGTCACTGTAATAATTTGTTAATTAGATACTTATATATCAATTCCTACACCCAGAACCTTGCTATATCTTGACAAGATTTTTTTCTAATTAAAAAAGGTTTCAGATAAATTTTTAAAGATATTTTTACAAAATAGTAAGAGAGACAGTTCCTTTACAGATTGTTGTTATGAACAAGTTGAACATTTACATTATTTAATCAACTGACAAAATATATGTAATATTTTGGAAAGGCGATAATCACAATAAAATTGTCAATATACTTATGTCCTTTTAAGTTCAGAAAGACAATAAATAACAAACAGGCAACTGACAGAAATACTGCAGATGGACGAAAAAAGGAAGTAAATAAATAAACTTAAGGTTATAGTAAATGATTTTACCTTGATATGTCAGATTGAAGGTCAGTATATGTATCATGATAAAGTAGGAATGTTGACTTGGAATGGTTAGATACAATTTCACCTGGTTTCTGTGAATGTGAGACCCAATATGACAACCACCAATCATTTATATTTCTTGATGCTACAATAATAAAACATATATGAGCCGCGTCACGACAAAACCAACATAATGGGTTTGCGACCAGCATGGATCCAGACCAGCCTGCGCATCCGCGCAGTCTGATCAGGATCCATGCTGTTCGCTTACAAACCCTATAACAAGTAGAGAAACTGATAGCGAACAGCATGGATCCTGATCAGACTGCGCGGATGCGCAGGCTGGTCTGGATCCATGCTGGTCGCAAACCCATTATGTTGGTTTTGTCATGACACGGCTCATATATGACAAAAGTTAGTTTAAAAATTTCTTATTTCTCAGAACATATTATACATGTTACAATTTACAATATACACAAAGCACTTCAAATTTTCTTAAAAAGCAGGATTTGAATGAAGACAATGTGTCTTATGAAATTCTTCTCCTTATGACAAAATTAAGAAACTACTAAAACTTTAAGTCTATTAAATATTTTCAATTGAACCATATAACAACTTGGAAAAAAAAACTTCATATAAAAGTTCATAATGGAAAGTTTGGGATGGTTCCTTATCCTAACAATTTTAGAATGTGATAAATATAACATATCAATTCAATTTTTCAAACAACTTCATCAAATAATTTACTAGCATACAGGGAAAAGCGAAAAAGGCTGTCAAGATTTTCCTTGTTTCTTTAATAGTTTTTAAATGAAAAACGAAAAGCATCATATATTCTTCTCAGAATAGTCTAATAACCCAATAATCTATTACAAAAACAAGAGCCTCAGCTTTATATGATCATGCTTTTCATTATACTCGATATTTAAGGAAAATAATTTGAATGTAGTGATTAAATTCCCCTGCAAGGGCGTAAAGTACAATTCATAAAAAGAATCCAAGAAAAGATGATTATAAATCAATGATTTGTCATTACAATATGAAGGTAAGTTTAGAAAATTCTGCTTAGTTTATATCCACCTTCACTTAAGATTTACACTTAATGAATGATGTGTTGTGTTTGCATCAGTTTTACTGTATTTTTTTAATCATACATTGGAACTACCATACTTTTCTGCAATTTTAATTCAGCTTAAAAAACTTCTTTACATCAAATATGTAAAACAAGGATAAAGTAAATATGACTGTAGACAAGACTGTTGTCACCAATGTCATCTGGAAATGCAATTGCCACCACCAGGAAATATTTATCCATTGATGTTATCACTGAGCTTATCTGGTAGGTCACATTTAATATACCTGTATTGAGTGGCTGCATGGCGGAGTGGTTAACACGTTGTACTAGTAACCTAAGAACTGCTGGCCATGTTGGTTCAAACCCTAACATTTCCTTGAGCAAGAAACTTTACACTCATTGCTTAGTACTGATTGGTTTAAGGGACAGGTTTGAAAGTATTGCAATAAGCTTATAGCTTCCAACACAATCAAACAAAAATAAATTCTGTATTTACTAATATACCTGTGCACAAAATTACCTTGCATGAAAAATAGAGCTAAAAGAACACTGGGAGCAAGACAGGTACCAACAGCCCTCCAGTATGACTGATAGATTCCTAGCTTCACTACACCAGTCTCCTTCTCCTCCTCCTCAACCAGGGAACCATCCTCAGTTGCCATTGGTGATTCAAGATCATGTGACTCAGTGACTTGTTCCTCTGCAGTTCTCAAAGATGCAAGTTCCTCAGAATTCAAAATTTCTGATGGTAATCCTAAAAGGCAAAATTTCATTTATATAAAATCATAATGAATTATATTTATGATAAAATTCTATAGATATTAAAGCTGTATCTTTTCATGTTTCAAAACAATTAAGAAGAGCAGTTATATGACAGACTTAAAAGAACATTGTTAACTTATCTAAGGAAAACTTCAGAATGGAAAAAGTTAAACAATTTATATACTAAATATAATGCCATTGGCATATTCACAAACTGTTAATCTATAAGTGGTCCCCTTTTGGTCTCATAAATGATTACTCTGATTATAACAGCTCACATTATGGCATCACAGAATTATATCCCCTTCTGAAGATAGTAAATATTTATTTACCATCATCATGTCTTGAGGGACATGTATTTAAAATGGACAGTCATTTACTTAAAACAATTAACCATTTGGGCTTTAAACATAAGAAATAATCACAAATAATCAACCTGTTTTGACAATTTTCCCATCATTCATCAGTATAATCTGGTCAGCATTGACTAGATATTTTGTATGATGTGTACACAATATACGGGTCTTCCCCCATAGCAATCCCATGATGCATTTCTGATACAAGTGTTGGGCAACGTGAGCATCAACTGCTGATAATGGGTCATCCAACAGAAACACATCTTTGTTCTTCAAACAAAGAAAAATAAAGATTACTACAAGGTCAAAATTTAACATAAAGTGTTATGTTAAAGATATAAGCAGATAAAAAAATCATCATCTATTCAGAATCCTAATCAATAGAAGATATTGAACGAACAAGTGTACGTTGAATGCTGAACTTATTGAATGAGTTGAATAAAATTATATTATGCGAGTCTCTGGCGAACAAAATATTATTTTATTCAACAAGTTCAATGAATTCAGTAATAAACCTTCATGTATTTAATATTCTATTTATTGCATACCCAAAATAGAGACTGTTTAAAGTGCAAAGAATAATTTTTCATCCACGTGTCCATACTGTAATGCTAAATATAGTGTGTAGAATTTTAAACATAACATATATACTTTGTATGAAGTCAAAATGTGTTTATTTCATATTTACAAAGATACTGTATAGCAATTATCAATACATGTATTTTCTAATATAAAATTTGAGCATAGTATTTCTTAAAGTCTAGATGTACAAAAGGGACAGTTATGACTATGGAAGTACTAAAACATTAAAAACAAAAGTCATATACATATAATTATACCTGATAAACAGCTCTAGCTAATGCCACTCTAGCTTTTTGACCACCACTCAAAGTTACACCATTTTCTCCTACCTCTGTCAGGTCACCAGCTGGTAATGTCTGTATATATTTGTTGTGTATAATTATTTAATAATTTACAACTAAGCATATTCAATGTACAACAAAATTTATACTAGAATATAAATTACATAGAACAGAGGACAGGGTCACATGTTGTTACAATACTTCCTAAATCTTGACACTGTTTATTTACAAAAGAGTAACAGAAGTCATAGTAGCAAAAAACAATCAGTTTATAAGTACAGCAATGCAAATGATTCCAATTTCTATACTAATGTATCAATATTAATCTTAATAATCAAGAAAAACCTTCTCTGAAAGTTGAAATATCATCTGTTCTCTTGTAAATTGACATAAATTAACTTCGAAAATTTCATCATGAAAAGGGTATTAAAAAGCAAACTTTAATATTTAGATCATTCAGGAAGAAAACGAGACTGATCCCCAAACAACTACAATGTATATTTTTTGTTCAATAATTCTACTTTTTTTTCTGTATATCTTTAATGGGCATAAGTAAAACCCATAAATTAAGTTTACGTACCTTAAAATCTTCTATCAAGGCACAGGCATCAATAACTCTTTCATATTTTCTGCTGTTAAACTGTCTTCCAAAGAGAATGTTGTCCTTAATAGTAGCATGCTGTATCCATGGCTCTTGTGCTGCCACAGCAAAACCAAGTTCAAGGTCATTTACCCTAATATGACCTCTGACCCTGTGCATCTCACCTAGCATGCAGCTAAGTAGTGAGCTTTTTCCAGAGCCAACTTTACCAATTACACCAATAAACTGACCCTAAAATAACAAGAATATGATTTTGATTACAAGATGCCATAGATTAAACAAGTAGTATAAAAAATATATAACTGTATTTGATCAATGTAAGGATACTTTAAAGAACGACATAAAGTTTCAAGCAGAAGGAAATGGCACCAAAGTAAAACCACAAAAAATAGCTATATATCACACTAAATAATGTATAAAAAAATTAACCTATGTAGCTGGATTGCCCTGATTATAGCTAGAAATATGTCCATACAACATGGATAAACCAATATTCTATCGATTTTTTAACAGTCTACAGACTGACTGTATGCAAGTCTGACAAGGGAACATCTATATGCGTCCCATCCACCATTCCCCTAAGTGGGGGCATGAAATGTCCAATATTTTGCCTAATCCTATACTGGTAATACCAGTATGCAAAAAATATATAAAGTAATTCTTAGTGAGGTTTGATATGCATTTAAGTAAACTTACTTTTGTAACATGCATACAAATATCCACCAGACTAAGTGTAGTTCCCTGTGATTCAGTTTGAATGTCTTGATCCTGGCTTGTTGATCCTTTCCTATCATTACTATTTTTTTCAGCTGGTTCCTGGGTCAGTTTCCTCTTCCTCTCTGGAATATCATTTAGAACTGGCTCCTGGCTTGATGCTCTATTTCTGTCTGGTTCCTTTCTTATGTTCTTTTTATCTTTCCAAGATTCTTCATCAGTTTCCTTCCAAGAGAACTCAGCATCTCTGATATTTAATGCACAGTCACTAGGTAACACTAGAATATAATAAATGTCATGAATAACTGTTTGATATTAATATACAAAATTATTTTCTAACAAAAACAGAATTTAACGTTTTTATTTGGACTTATCTGCTACTAAGTCCAGAAACTTCTATTCAGAAAGTCTGTTCAGTTTCAACAATATCTTCGTCTATATGAAAGTGTAACTAAAAGTCAAAGTTCATAATTAAGATCTTACCATGTAATTGTTTATTTATAAGATAAAACTTAAATACAATGAAAAATATCAATATAATGTTTTAAACACTGTCAAAACTCGTGATTAAAATTCTAAAATGCCAAACATTTATTCAGAAGTCAAACATTTATTCAGAAGTCAAAAAAATGTAAGAAAATAAATCAATAGTATCTAACCTGTATTAGATGAGTAATAGTGCTCAGGATCAAAATCTTTCAGTGCAATGAAAGCTTGAACTCTCTTTAGAGAGACCCATGACTCCACTAATCCATTTATCACCCATGGAAACGCATTCAGGGGACTTATCAACATCAGGAACAAAGAAAGGCTTGTGAACACCTGAAAAACAACATAATATTATTATGTTTAATAACCCTGCAATAATGACCCTTTCATAAAATATACGTAAAATTTATCATTGTTGCATCTGACAAAGGATAAAGTAGAGTTTTGATGAAAATATGAAATATTAAGCAAGATCTATTTCTTAGGTAAAGACAGCACATACTTTCTTCAATGCTATATGTACTGGTATCTTAGAGCCTAAAACTTCATTGCAATTGCTGTTTCTTGAACCAATAACAAAAATTTAAATAAGTTGTTTAACAGGAAGTGGTTGAGGGACAGACCTAAAATTTAATTCCACAGTATGGGGCCATGTGTAAATGCTGTATACCAAATATCAAGAGGCTGTGATAAGTAGTTGCTGATAAAACTGTTTCGAAAACTTCTTACCATTCACCATTAATGTCAAAAATTTAAAAAGTCGGTACACAGGAAATGGATGAGCGGCAGACCTGAGATTGAATCCCACAGTTTAGGACCCATGTAAATGCTGTATACCAAATATCAAGAGGCTACAAAAAGTAGTTGCTGAGATAACTGTTACAACCATTTTTTTCATTGCCTGCCCACCGACATTCACCATACAATAACCCGGGTTGCACCCATTCAATCTGGCCAAAAATTACTTTGAGCCTATGACCTACCTTAGCAGCTGTAAGCTGGTTGCCCATCAAAGAATATGTAGTAAATGTGAGAATTGATATCAGGACAGGTGTTGTAGCCCAGAAATAAACACACATAGCATCCAGATATTTCCTTCCCTACAATTTTACAAGCAACAACATAAGATTTCTAATTACGCAAAATAAAATTTGCATCAATAATATATTATATCAAAACTATGTCCAAATTTATTTAATTACACATCTTTATAGTGCACTGATTTACTTAGCAAACACCTAGAGTTAAAAGAATTTTAGTGAATCACTGACAAGAAAATAACATAATGTATGTCTCTTTGTTCTATTCACATTTATATTTAATATCAGGGTTCGACATTAACGGGATCCCGGGATTCCGAGGATCCCAAAACGTCGGGAGGAATCTCTGTGATTCCTAGCTGGGGATTCCGTTGGGATCCCTGAAAAATTGCTGTGTAAATTTTTGAAATTGTCTGAATTAATATCATTGAATCACAAATATTCAAGAAAAGTGTTAATAAAGACTGGCACAACTGCAATGTTCAAGAAAGAAGAGAAAAATCCCGCCGGTAAAATCTACGCACGCCAGATTTCCTTCGTGCTATCAACTCATTTGCGATATATAATGAAAAATATTTTGGCTAAAGAAACATTCTTGAATAATTTTATATCATGCATTGACTTCATAATATTAAGTTGTGAAAATTCAAGAAAGAAATATAATTATCGTATAATTTTTTTCACTTCAAATATGTGCAGATCGGCGTTGCCGGCGGTAGCTACGAAGTTAACAAGTACGTGTTTGGTTTTTTTGTGTGTACCATAATTCAGCATTTAAATTGTGATCATTGTAAATTTTCGTAAAAAAAAAGTGAAAAAAACAAAAAGATTACTGATGTATTTTTTTTCTCCCTGTAGTACTGCAAAAGTATAATTAATAAATAGAATAAAAAGAATCCATACTTTTCAGTTTAAAATCCTTTTTGAAACTCTGCAGCCTTAAATGCTAAAAAATATTGTCTAACTAAAGACTGAAGTGTTCTAAGGTCAATCAAGGTCACGCATAATTTACCGACAAAAAAAGAAGAAAAATCCTTAGGTGAAACATACACCAAATGACGTATATTTCATCTGACAGTTCTTTGGACCAATCAGTGTTCTGAACTACATGACTGCTGTATGCGGTGAGTGCCTTTGATGTGGCATATGTCAAAACTTTAAAAAAAATCAATACACACAGGGAGGAAAAGAATCGGACATTTCAGTGTAAAAATTGAGAACAATAAATTTGGATATTACACATCCTGTCATGGACTTGGAGCAACTTTTTACTTTTAAAAACGAAATCATTTGAAGGTACCCTACTTGTAATGCAAACAAAACTTTTTTCTTGATATTTTAGCTTTAGTAAAATTCAACAAAATATTTAATTTATAACAATCTATGGGATATTTCCTTTTAAACACAAAAAGTGTACAGTAAGCTGAAAATCACTTATTTTTTTAAAGTGATCATAATTAAACATTTCTTTTTAAATGACATGAAAGTAAATATTTTCTAAAAGTTATCCATACCAGAACTTACAGGAGTATGGAGCCTAATCATTACCTGTAAGTTTTTAAAGATCTACAGATGATATGTTGGCTCTATTTCAGTGAACCCTAGGCTATCTGAAAAAATGTTTCCCCAGTTCCTACTTAACTTCAAAAGTTCAAACCCTAAGTCCCATTGCCCAGGCACTTGCATTATACCTTCATTTACAGAAACAGGTTCACAATTATCAACCCCAGGGAGAAAACGGGTTTTATTTTCAAATCGAACTCTTGTTCAGTGGGTGAGCATAATGTTATTCTGTTTACGTGCATGTAAAAAATGTATTATGTTTTAATTTATCTTAGCAGTCCAATTATTATATACTAGTAAAGTAAACACTTTGAAACACTTTTAAAACTTTAAACAGCAATATTTCCAAAGGGCTCATACGGCCAGTTATGTGTTGACATGTCGTAAAAATCCAAGCAAACAAAAAAACCCAAATGGCTCATAAACTACATTTTCTGCATCTGAAACAAGGCAATATTATATTCATGTATGTGGTCTTTAAAAAAAGAATTTGAAATCGGATTGCTGCACTCCCTTGTTATTCTTCGCCTTTATATTTTACTATTTTGATCTGAGGAATCCCTGACATTTAGGAGGAATCCCTGAATTAAATCTCAGGGATTCCTTTGGGATCCCTTGTTAAAACAGTTAGTGTCGAACCCTGAATATTGTATTGTCTATGTAAAGCTTGCAACATACAATATACCTGTACTTAAACTCTAAAGAGAAAAGAAAAATTCATTGTGAATTATGAATATTTTATAATGTCAAGCCATGTTTTTCCAATCAAGTTTAAACTAGTAGCCCTACTGCTCATAGGCATAAGTCATACTCTTTGTAACAAGTTTCTATATTATAAGGATAAAGGTAACAACATTATAAGGTTTAGACAAATAATTCTTATAATAACTGGGAATAATCTTTTATATCTTCACTGGATTAACTCACCTTAAGACTTTTCAATTCAGCATCTCTTAATGTATTTATTTTGGTCTCAAAATGTTCTTCCCAGGCATAAAACTTGACAACTCTCATCCCAAACAATACCTCATTCATTACCTGTCAAGTCAGTAACATTCAATAAATAACATATATTTTTATGTAATAAACATATATAATATTACATACATTATATGTATATCAAAGTTTGAACACTGGTAATGCAAATAAACTTGTTTTTAACAGCCACATGGGGAATTATTAGTCACAAGACACTTCTAAACATAAGCTTATATGACTATGAGGATATACATTTGATATATCCTTCAAGTTTTAACATTAGTTTATTTCTCATAAATTAATACTAGATTTTAAATCATGGTAAATCAAGTGATTTATCATATTTTTTCAACACTATGACTTCTTGTATGCTGTCCATTTCCGATTATAAGCTGCATTTTTGAGACTCAATTTTCAAATAAAGAGAGGGGAGTGTGTATTTTAATGAAAACTTTAAGATTCAGTTGTGAAGAATTAGATTCAGATCTAATCGTCAATTAGGTTGTTAATAACTTAAGTAATACTATTTCTTTATAATCATTATCAAATAAAGTTTTTGGTAATAAATCTATGATGTCCTTATTTTGACTATGAATAATAATACATCATGTTCAATGTTACAATGATGGTTAATAACAAGGTAATATTATTTTAACTTATATTTTTTTCATGTTTGAGAAATTCTAGATTATCAGCATCAAGTGGTTTTTCTTTCAAAAAGGTCAAATGTAAATAATCAGCAAGTCAAATGCTTAAAAGTCAGATGTCAATCTCTTACTAAGCATAAAAATTCTAAAAATCCATTTGTTATTGCATCCTAGAAACACACATCAATATTATCTGGCCTTGCAAAAGTGGGGCTTATGCTTCTTAACATTCTAAGCCAATCAAAAAACAAAATTTTCCAGTATTTTTTCCAAAGATGAATGGTTGTGGTATGTGTTATGATGGCATCAGAATGTGAATTATTTCAACCAGTTTTGATTTAGGTATGGTAATTTCAACCCTTAGATAATATAATTTTGCTGTAGTAAATTAATTAAATTTTGAATTGAAATAAGCAGGGTAATCAAAACACTGGCTTGAACTACAGATGGGAATATCCAGCCCTCAGGTAAACTGCCTAGCTGTAACTCAACAGATCCTCACTGCTGCATTTTACAGTTACCCTCTACCGGAAAATTGCCATCTGTACTAACAGCCAATGTAAGATTCTGACAGGATGTCATACCTTGACTCTGTTATCTTTTTGTTCCATCATAGCTGTACTCAGTTGACCTATCTTCTTTGCTAGCCATCTGTTAATAGGAATCAAGATCAGGGCAAATGCTAAACCTGCTAAAAATGCAAGCCCAACCTGAAAAACATTTCTCAACACATAACAACACTATCAATCAGGGGACGTAATCAGTGTCTTGTTTTTCAGTAATACAGTATCCAGCTGGTATTTATTTATTTATGAAAACTAAATGGTGATGTCAACAAGAGCTGTCAGGACAGTGTGCTGGATAATGTATAATCTCCCAAGGTTAAAAAATGGCCATAATTCTGATAAAACCCATGTAAAGAGATATGGGCATTTGACAGCAACCACCTATTATGCTCTCAAATAAGTGTGTGAAGTTGCAACCCATTCGCATCAATGGTTTTGGAGACACCAACTTGCATATTAAAAGTTGGCCAAAGTGTGACGACGCTGCTAATGCCTGGGTGATAACAATTATAGCTCTCCCTTTTCTTTGAAAAGTTGAGATAAAAAATATTTTTAGCACATTTTGAGTTAGTCTGTACAAGTAACATGATTAACTCTTGATACAAGCTATCGTTGCAACTCTTGAAACAGACTATATAATTGCAGAATTTTAAATATACTAGATGCAAACATTTAAGCTCTAGAAAAGTTACAAAAGAATGAAAAACACGATCTTACCTGTTGATGTAGAAGATACAATGAAACAGCAATCTGGAAAGGTAGACTCCACACAGCATGAAAACTTGGACAAAAATTCACAATTCTGTCTGTATCTGTGCTCATGAAATTAATAATCTGCCCACTTGTAAACTTTCCTACACTGACACTACTGCTCACTGACAGAGATTTCCTGTATATAGTTGATATAATGGCCGTCCGTATCTTCAACCCTACCACATTACAGTTATAATCAAACTGTGTTGAACAAAATGCTCCTAGTAACGTTGATAAAAACAGACCCATAGCATATAAATACCCATTCTCTTCCTTTTCTGACTTAGTCTCCATATATGAAACTAATAAGTTTAGTAAAATTGGTCCAGCAAAACCAAGACAGTCAGTTAAAAGCTTTAAAATACCTAATAAAAAATACTCAAAACCAAAAGTTTTATTCAATGCCTTTAACAGGCTCAAAGGTTTAAAATTTGAATCATCTGAGAATGAATGTCTTGTATTAGGACCTGTATGAGAAAACTGAACATCAGGAATGCTATTAATGCTAGAGCTAAGACTTGATCTTGAAGAATAACTTTCCTTCCTTTGAAACCTATCATCCCATTTTCCAGTTAATATATAGGTAAATTTTGTATAAATATTGTATGTGCTCAATCTTACTGGCAAAAAGAATAAGTCATTTGCACTTTTTATAGATTTCTTTGCTCCTTTTACTAGAAGCTGTCGCACCCAGTGGAATGTTAACCATGAAATACAATTGACGTCATACTCAGCTGTCACAACGGTGCTACTTCTTTGTGATATGCTCCGGTAAGATCTCCGTGATCCCTCCAATAAAGAACTACTTTCATCAACACTCTCATTAATAGCTCTATAATAAATGTCATCATCAACAAGGGTGACACGTTCTCCCCTAGGAAAGAGTGTACACAAGTATGAAATCTGTAAAAACCCTGATACATAAACAGAGAATTCTTCAACATTATTATGACTAGGTGAATTGTTCAACCTTTGCACTATGTTTGTATGGAGCTGGGCACCAAGTGAGATAAGAGACAGTAAATATATTAGAACCATAGGAAAGGCACCTCGCCATGAGCTCCAAACTAAATATTTCAGTCTGTATACATAAACACTATGAATCAACCAGCCACTTGATAAAATACATGATGTCACAATGTCAGCATAGCTCACTGTTATCTGGTTCAAGATTCTTGTTAGCACAACCTGCACAGTTGATAATACACACAGTAATAATGTACACAAAAAACGGTATTTCACATACCATGGTAAAGGTAGGAAAGCTCCGCGAGAATTATGTTTAGCTGCAGCAATGTAATATGAGCTAAATATTGCCAATATAACATAGCTAGGACATATCACAACTATTTGCTCAAAGCAGTGACCAAAGTCCCCATTCTTCCATGTGGTAAAGTTCTCCCCATGGCCGCAAAACTGGTGCCAAAATGAAGCTGACATAGCTTTCTGAAAAAGAAAAAAATACAAATTGTAACCATTGGTTAAGGCTTATCTACCAGTTAAAAGCAGCATTATGTTAGCATAAAAAGCTGACCAACATTCTTGTAAACTTTCAGGCCTGCAGGTCAAATACTTTTTGAGCTATGCATGAACAAGTTGAAAATTGCAAATTTATACTATGTCAAGGGCAATAACAGAACTGAAACAAGATTGCATTTGAGAAAAATGCTATGCCACCGCATGGTTCAAATTTCATAGCTGTACATCAAAGGACAAGAGAGTAGGTCACATCATCAAAGTTCAATTTTACAACTAAAACTGTGCACATGGTCAAAATTTCATTGCCGTACATCAAAGGACAAGAAAGTAGGTCACTGTCCCCTTGGGCAAGGCAAAATTTTGACCCAAGGGTTAAATTCAAAATAATCTTGATACAGGGTCCACCAAACAACATTTCAAGTCAATATCTAAGCTGTAGCTTTCTCCCATTCAGAAAACATTTGTTTTATTTTTCTGTCTTTACTATGTGTACATAATGAGAATCACTGCCCCGGGCAGGGCCAAATTTTGACACCAGGGGAAAAATTTGAACAACTTTGGTAGAGGACCTATAAATGATATTTTATATCAAACATCAAAGCTCTATGCCTGTGTACCTTCAGACAAAAAATATTTTTTATTTTTTCATTATATGTACATGATGAAAATCAATGACCCCCGTGGCGGAACCAATTTTGACCCCAGGGCTATAAATTTGAACAATCTTGGTAGAGGTCACTTGACAAAAAACTCATGCCATATATTTAACCTCTAGCCTTTGTCAATTCAGAGAAGAAGATTTTTTAAGTTTTTACTTTATACATAAAAGGAAAACTATTGCCTCTGGGGCAGGGCAATTTTTACACTAGGGGCATAATTAAAACAACTTTAGTAGAGGACCCATAGATGATATTATATACCAATTATCAAAGTTCTAAGCCTTGTACCTTCAGACAAGAGATTTTTTAAATTTTTTATGTACATAGTTAAAATGAATGACCCCTGGGGTCGGGGCCAATTTTGACCCCAGGGCTATAATTTGTACAATCTTGCACAGGTTCACTACACAATGTTTTCATGCAAAATATTCTTAACTCTAGCCTTTGTAAATTTAGAGAAGATGATTTTTTAAGTTTTTACTATATACATATAAGGAAAACCTATGGCCCCCAGGGCGGGGCTAATTTTGACACTAGAGGCAAAATGTGAACAACTTTGGTAGAGTACCTTTAGATGATATTATTTAACAAATATTAAAGCTCTAAGCCTGGTACCTTCAGACAATAAGATTTTTTTATTTTTTACTATATCAGTGTTCGCGTTTACTGAGTAAACATATCAATTTACTCGCTAAAATTGCCAGGGAGGAAAGAAAAAAAGGGCTGTTGAGTCCCTGGGACGAAACACTTTTTCCCCGATAATTGGTCAATTCTCTCTTAAGTTTTTTTGCTCTGCTTGAAAATGATTTTCTATTCACTATAAATAAATTGTATTATAAAGAACTTGACTTTCACCTCATTTTCATTGTCCTTTCTCATTAGCAATGCAGATTTATATCCCAAACGTAGACTAGGAGCAAGTGCTCGCCTCGTTTTGGGCCAACCTATCAATGGTATCCGCGAACATCAACAGTCACAAATTTGATTGTATTATGAAGTTATGCAAACATTGACATTTTTGTAATTGAGGACTCGTTCCATTTGAATTGGGACGTAACAGATCTATTAGCACTGAGTCCCAGGTACTCAGTAAAGTTAGGGAAAATCGCTAACACTGTATATGTATATATTGAAATCAATGACCCCCAGGGCGGGGGCAATTTTGACACCAGGGCTATAATTTGAACAATCTTGCTAGAGGTTTGCTACACAATGTTTCATGCAAAATATCTAACCTCTAGCATTTGTCAATTGCTAGAAGAATTTTTAACTATAAGTTTTTACTATATACATTCAGGGTTTCTACTAGGAATTTTTATTTAAGAGTCCCAGGGACTCGTGCTCATAAAATATGAGGGTCCCAGAGAAAAATATGAGGGTCCTAATCATTTATTACTTTAAAGTAAGGTATTACAGTTGAGTTCACACTAAAGGTTACACAAAGTGCACTAGGAGTGCACTAGATGTGCACTACTAGTGCACTTCAAAGTGCACTTCTAGTGCACTTTGTAGTGCACCAGACCTATTATATGTATAAAGCAGTTACCTTTTATTTCAATGACTTTTACAAAAAGAATAGATAAATATTGATATATGTATAATAGTTTTTCATAATAAATTTGAAGTTGTGAATATTGGATTTTGTAAAATATGGCGTAAAATATTAGAACAATAATTTTTCAAAGTCATTAATTTTACTGATTTTAAAAACTTAATTGTTAAAATAAGTAAATATAAATAATTATAACTTTAATGTTGATAAAAGTGCATAAATAAACAAAAATTAATTGATATTTAATAGGATTCTATTTTATTATAATCTGGTAATTAAATATGAAACATTGAAATGCAATCAAGTTTTTTTGTTTTTTTTTTTTTTGTTTTTTTTGGGGGGGGGGGGGGGGGGCAAATTATACCAATTTTATCAATTTTATCTCATTTATAATCTCTCTTACCTTCTCAAACTGAGATTTACCTAAGATTTATAGAAATGATATATGTTATTTTAAAAATAAATTATTTATATATTTAATGGTGGTATATTAAGTATTGATATTTTGTGGATTAAGTATTGATATGTTGATATGTACCTGTGGGACACTAGTATACTTTAACTGACATGGATATCACAAATATATCTTATATTTAGCTCCATGTGGATATTAACAAAAAGATTAGAAAATCTTTCAATTCCTTTTTTTGAGACGACACCAATCTTTTTTCATTTTTTTTTCATGCATTGTAACATAATTATGCAATATGATTATTTTTATGAGTTTATTATAAAATACAAAAATATTTCAGTTTTCTTTTTTCTTATTTGTACTACTTGTAATGAAATTTATTTGCACCAACATCCAGAGAATACAGAATTTACATTGCCTACTTATATTTATCATCTGCCTTTTGTTATTTACCCTGAGGGGCGCTCTTATCAGCAGGGCACTACATTAAAACACCAATACACAGCATGACTTTTGACACTTCAATCTTCTGTAACTGTTTTCTGCTCATGTATGGTACAATGTATTAGTATTTTATTTAAAAAAAAACAACAAAAAAACAGATCTGCATTAAAGTGAAAAGGAAGTTTGCAAAAGTTTATAAATCATGTATTTAAAAATTTTCTTTAAAATATATTAATTTTTAAATGTGTTAATTAAAACTGACAAGGTAAATTTGTCAAATCTATGATAGAAAAAAATTAACATTCCCAGTTTCAGAAACTAAAAGATGATTTTAATGCAAAATTGCAAGAAATGTGGATAAATATTGATATGAGGTCTTTCCAGAATAGTTAACACTGATATTGATTTTAAACCAGTTTTTTTTATAAGATTAGAAAATTCCACTTCAAAGACAATAATGACAATAATATCTAACATGCATTTATGCCATTATTATTATGTTTTTACATTTGATTATACAAAAATTATAGTCATTTATCTTAGATGTCTTACATGTATTTTGGAGGAAAAAAACAGGAAATTTTATTTTAAAAACATGTAAATATTGCATACATCTGCATTTTTGTTATTTACCCTGAGGCCCTCTTATCAGCAGGGGACTAATATAAATACCAATACACAGCATGACTTGAGACTGTCCTCTTGTATAAAAGCATTCCCTTTATACATTAGATTTTTAATATAGAAATCTTAAATAAAGCTATCAATTTTATTTATTTCATGCACAGATATATTAAACTTATATTTAGCTCCATGATTTCTTTGAAAAAATTTTAATTATTTATATCTTTTAAAAAGTATGCAAGCATTTTCATGGTTGAAAAACAAAATATCACAGTATATGGATTGTTTTAAAATCAATGAATTAAATATCTCTTTTCAAATCTTGAACATGAGGAATTATATATTATTATGCAGAGTGGCAAGAATTGTGGATAAATATAGAAATTCAGCTTTTAGAAGACAATAATATCTAATATGCATTTATGCCATTGTGAATTCTTTTTGTATATTTTGATTATACAAAAATTATGGTCATTTATCTATATGACTAACTAGCCTGAGTGCCAACGCCTGATGAATCCCAGGCTTATTGTCTAACATGCATTTTGAGAAAAACCAGGGAATTTCAATGCATACTTATAATCTGCAAAATTGACTATACTTTGTTGTTTACCCTGAGGCTCTCTTATCAGCCAGGAGATTGGTATAATGAAAACAGTCCCCCTCAGAAAATACCAATACAACGGCATGACTTGAGATTTTTCCTCTTCAATAAAAGTATCCCCTTTATACATTAAATTTTTAATATTGAAATCATGAATAAAAAGTTATCAAATTTATTTATTTTATGGATAATATTTTAATCATTTTATATGCAAGCATTACACAGTTGAAATACTAAATTATCACAGTATATTGATTGTTTTAAAATCAATGTATACATACTCTTTCAATATTGAACATGAGGAATTTGTCTTTAAGTTATATATTATAGAAATAATATTTTAGCTTAAATATTAAACCTTTCCTTGATTTGTTTTGAGCTTATGAAAAAAAAGTTTATGTTGTTACAAAAACTAAATTAATTGGCCAGAATTATCACATTTATTTTTATATTTGTTACATTGACCAAAATTGCAAAATCGTTATGGCCATTAAAAAAAATAGCTTTTAAAAACACTTACGCAATTATCCATTACCCGAGCATATTTAAAATTTAACCTTATTAATTCTATAAATTTGATTTTAAGGGGTATTTATTTTACACTTAGGCCTACAGTTAAATACTGATTAATAAAAAATATGATTACAATAAATAAATTTCTTTTTTTAATTTAAAGCACCTAAAATGTTAAAATTTACTTATTTATATTCATGAATAGGCCATAATTTATATTCCCAAAGTTTTTTTTTTTCTTACAGCAGCTTAACAACAAAGATACCCCCGTCCCCTTGATATACAATCATTCCCAAAAAACCATTTTAGGTGTCACCTTCCTTTGGGCCCGCCTGGGAAAAACAAATTTAATTTGGCCCTTTCAGTGCAAATTTGAAAATGACACGGGTGTGCACTTCTAGTTCGCTCCAGGCATAGAAGTTTTCAAAAAGGGTGGAAGTTTTTGGTGTGGAAACCCTTTTCCAAACCTTACTTTATAATTTTTTATTGTCCCATTTTTAATTTTTACATTTTTTTACATTTTTAAAACTACATATTGCCCCTTTTTTTTTTTACCTTTTATTTGGGTAATTTTAAAAAAAAAAATATTTAAAAACCCTTTATTTTTTTATTGTTAAATTTTATTTTTTCAAATTTTTTTCAATTTTGGCTTGGGAAAGTTTGTGCAACTTCATAAAATCAAATCTTTTACATCTGGTTTTCCCACTAATTTTTTTCAATTTGGGGTTTTTAAATGGGATTTTACGTCTTTGATGACAGGACAAATGTATCTACTAATTTTGGGAGTTCAAAACATCCATTTTCCGAGGCAAAAGGACTTACATTTTTTTGGTTGAGACGCCAAATGGCCTGCATTTCATAATCCCCGTGGTCGGTCTCGTTTTTGGACGAGCCCACGGGTAAGTTTTAAAAAGTTAAAGAAAAAAAAGCGGGGTTTTTAAAAAAAAAAAAAAACCCTTTAAGGGGGGGCCCAACTTTTTCATTTTAAAAGAAAAAAATTGGGGCGAGCATGCCGACATGTTTTAAGATTTAATTTTAATAAACAAAAAAACGGGCATAAGACTGGGACGCTTTTTTTAAAAGTCGACTAAATTCTATTGTGCGCCGTTTTTTATTCCGTATTTTAAAACTGTAAATTAATTTGAAAGAAACATAACTCTGCTGTATTCAATATTAGAAAACCCGTCTACCAAAATTACGTCATTTCCTTTAAAGAAGCGGAAGGAATTTCCAAATGATATTTACGGAGGAAAATTTAATTTGCGTCCCCATGGACGCACACTTCGAGTAATTGAGGGTCCTAGGTTACTATTTTTGCGTCAAGGACGCCAGGAAATGTGCGTCAATAGAAACCCTGAATACATATAAGGAAAACCAATGACCCCCCAGGGCAGGGCCGATTTTGACCCCAGGGCTATAATTTGAACAATCTGTGTAGAGGTCTACCAGAAAATGCCTTATGCAAAATATCTAAGCTCTAGGCCTTTTGGGTCTTTACAAGAAGGTATTTTTAAACATTTTACGATATGTGCATATAGTGAAAATCAATGACCCCCCGGGCGGGGCCGATTTTGACCCCAGGGCTATAAATTTTAACCCAAACCCTTTAAGGGGCTTTTTAGACAAGCTTTTTTGCCCAAAAAAATTTTAAGCCCCCTAGGCCATTTTGGGGTCTTTACAAAAGGTATTTTAGGTTTTTTCTTTTTAGTACTTAAATAAGTGAAAATTTTTTGACCCCCCGGGGGGGGGCCAATTTTTGACCCCAGGGCCCATAATTTGGAAAAAATTCCCTTTTTTAGAGGTTCTACCAGACAATGCCTTATGCAAAATATCTAAGCTCTAGGCCTTTTGGGTCTTTACAAGAAGATTTTTTAAATTTATTCTTATAATTCCTTTTGGTTGCCATGGCAACCAGATTTCTGCATGGAATGAAATTCTTTGAACAAGTTTGGAAGCCCTTCACCCAAGGATCAATCCTGCCAAGTTTGGTTGAAATTGGAAAAGTGGTTTCACACAAGAAGATTTTTAAGTTCACTATATAATCTATATAACACACACACAAACACACGCGCAAACACACACACAGGTGAATTGCTATATGCCATCGCATCACAGATGCTGCGGTGGCATAAAAATCCACATGTAAAATACCAGGTGCATAGCTTCACAGTGATGTTGATAATCATATCTGTAAAGTTGGTTGATTCTTACTCAAGCACTCAAGGAACAAATAGCACAACATAATGAAACGGTTTTTACTAAATCAACTCTACAAATACTGGATAAATCCATAAGCGAAACCCAAGGTGCACAACTCCACATGCTGACCAACATTCCTGTTAGTTTCATGATTAGTTTAAATACATTTTGAGCTTCACATGACGCAAATAGAAAATTACAAATTTTCATTAAGGCAAGGGCAATAACTCTGACACAACATATAAATTCACAAGCGAAACCCAAAGTGCACAACTTCACTTGCTGATCAACATTCCTGTAAAGTTTCATGACCCTATGTCAAATACTTTTTAATCTACACAAGTTGAAAATTGCAAATTTTTACAAAGTCAAGGACAATAACTCTACAAATACTAAATAAATCCACATGAAAATACCCAGGTGCACAACTACACCCCAGCAAACATGCATATATGGGACCCATATGGGCTATATCTAGGCAAGCCCATATGGGTATGCCCATATTGGACCTACTGCATGCTGATTAACATTCCTGTAAAGTTTCATACTTTTTAAGCTACATGCGACACAAGTTGAAAATTGCAAATTTATACTAAGTCAAGGGCTATAACTCTGACAAAACAAAAAATCCACAATCACTTTTAGAGTAAAAATACTAAATAAATCCATACGAAAATAGCCAGGTGCACAACTACATATGCTGATCAATATTCCTTTAAAGTTTCATTACTCTTGGTCAAATACTTTTAGAGCTATGTGCGACACAAAATGAGAACGGACGGACGGACAAGGGTAAATCTAAATCCCCCCCCCCCCCACTAAAGTGGAGGCTCAAAAAAGTTAAATGTTATTAAATCTGGATCGAAGGAATTCGTTGACGAAAATCCTACACCACAAATTTTTTTAATAAGCGCTTCAGTGACATTGACAAACAATTATTTGCATTTGCTTTCGAGTTTCTTTTTCTAATATATGTTGTCAGAGGTATCTGCAATCATGGAACAAAAAGTTTTAAAAGCGATTACCTTATTTATGTGACAATAAATGCAATCACATCAAAATACAATTGTGCATATAATCAATCGCTACAGTGATTGTGGGCCATAAACCGCTGGGTACTAGAACACTAAATCTGTGTATTTTCTTCCTCGGTCCGCCTTTCATACAGCTTATTACGGTACGTTTAAAAAGTATTGTAGAACTCTATCAAATGGAAAAAAATCTTTAAAACATTACATATAAAGAACAGTGGTGAACGTAACGAATGGTTGTCCAGCCAGACTTATTATGATAATTCGTATATAATTGATTCTTATAGTCCCGTGTAAAAAACTTAAATGCTGGCAGTTATAGACTGTCTATTTGCTTGTCGACAGCGACATATGGCCCCATGTAAAAACTGAAACGACTTTAGTAATAGGCTATATATTTCTCTTGTAGGTAGCCACGTATGGCCCCGTTAAAAAACCTTAAATATCGGCAGTACTGGACTGCCTATTCGCCTGTGGACAGCCACGTATGGCCCCGTTAAAAAACCTTAAATATCGGCAGTACTGGACTGCCTATTCGCCTGGGGACAGCGACATATGGCCCCATGTAAAAACTGAAACGACTTTAGTAATAGGCTATATATTTCTCTTGTAGGTAGCCACGTATGGCCCCGTGTAAAAAACTTTAATATCGGCAGTACTGGACTGCCTATTCGCCTGGGGACAGCGACATATGGCCCCATGTAAAAACTGAAACGACTTTAGTAATATGCTATATATTTCTCTTGTAGGAAGCCACGTATGGCCCCGTGTAAAAAACTTAAATCTCAGCAGTACTGGACTGTCTATTCGTCTGTGGACAGCCACATATGGCCCCGTGTAAAAACTGAAACGACTTTAGTAAAAGGCTATATATTTCTCTAGCAGGTAGCCACGTATGGCCCCCTGTAAAAAACTTAAATATCGGCAGTACTGGACTGTCTATTCGCCTGTGGACAGCCACATATGGCCCAATGTAAAAACTGAAACGACTATAGTAAAAGGCTATATATTTCTCTAGCAGGTAGCCACGTATGGCCCCGTTAAAAAACCTTAAATATCGGCAGTACTGGACTGCCTATTCGCCTGGGGACAGCGACATATGGCCCCATGTAAAAACTGAAACGACTTTAGTAATAGGCTATATATTTCTCTAGCAGGTAGCCACGTATGGCCCCGTTAAAAAACCTTAAATATCGGCAGTACTGGACTGCCTATTCGCCTGGGGACAGCGACATATGGCCCCATGTAAAAACTGAAACGACTTTAGTAATAGGCTATATATTTCTGTCACGGTTCAGAACTGTTCACTATTTAGGGGAGAAGATGTGTAAGCGGCCGGATAGCTCAGTCGGTAGAGCCGCGGAACGGTATTCCGAAGGTCTCGGGTTCGAGTCCCGGTCAGGCTGCACATTTTTCTCACCCTGTGACATTTGGCGCCCAACGTGGGGCCGTGACTGATAAAGCTCAGAGTTTAATTTACATTGCTCTGTAACTCTGTGAAATTCGAGGACGAATTTCAATATAGCAGGGGAGTATGTCACGGTTCAGAACTGTTCACTATTTAGGGGAGAAGATGTGTAAAGCGGCCGGATAGCTCAGTCGGTAGAGCCGCGGAACGGTGTT